GATTTTGAGAAAGTCCGAATTCGAACTGGCGTCAACAGTTTGCATCAATAGTTGAAAGACATCAGTAGCTTGCTACTCATCATTCAATAAAGGCGTCATTTTTTCATCAGTTATTTTTTTGATAGGTACTGTTAATGGTCACCGTGTGAAATGACATACACGTTAAGACGTAGGAGTGTCCATTCAAATCTGATAAAGGTCTTACCAAATCAAGACGAACATGTTCAAAACGAGCGTCGAGAGTTTTGAAAGACATGAAGTGTAACGACCGAAATACCAGTACTCACTTTGAACGCAGAACTGACCATTCGAAACGTACCTAATTAGACCGGACTACATACATTTGTATGGCGTACGAAGCGTTTTTGAGTGACTCGTATCAAATTATATCAAAACAAGAACTCTGTGCTTAATTTAAACGTTTCTAATTTGAGAAACAGAGGAGATTATATCAAAAGTAGAAAACACCTCGGACATTACAGCCTGTTCTATACGGTCGAGAGTTTTTCTAACACAAACTTACGTGCTTAAAACAAAAGGAATGGTTAATAAACATTAGTTCGACAGATTGGATCAATAAGGATATTCCGAACAACATAGGATCAGATATCTATCTTCAGGCATCACAGAAATCTTTCCAGACAGGGAGTCGATGGTTCACAGTCATTCACTGAATCCCTTTATGACTATGAGCTTAGCCAAACACAACCTTATTGTCAATTGTCTGTCAACGTGCATCAGAAAAAATAAGTAATGAAAAGTAAGTCTTTCACCAAAGTGACATAATGAAAGCTCAGACGAGAAACGCTGGCGAACATAAAGTTTTATTAGGAGAGACCTGAATAAAAGGTCAAAATACGAAACGGAGAGAAGAAACAAATACATGCCAATATCGTCCAATAAAATGTTCCGGATTAATTTTCAGTGCATTCTTTTCGCCCACCAAAATCCTTACGGCTACGTGAATACACCTTTGAATTCATCCAGTCATGGCTGGTCTAGTTAAATTCTCCATACCAATGAGTAACACAAAACTTAAACAGTATGACTGAACCCCATAAACCTAAAGTATAATCAGCAGTCACGGGCCTCCCTCCAGAAGATTAAGCTTTTGAACCCCCCCTATACTCTTTCCTTTGCATCAAGACTAATACATTACGTTTGGCAACATCTAATTCACCATGTGTTAGACAGACTGCATTTGAGGACCTGTCTTGATGATGACGGCTCATAATGGCTACATTGATAACATACTTTTTGAAGCATACTTCTGATTTAACCAGATTTATCTTATTCAAGCCGTATAACAGGACTGTACATAAAATAAGTATTAATGTTCCTGAACTGATCGTGTGAGCTCTTTTAATTTCAACATTTTCCATGTCGTTTGCTAAAACAGCTTCAGTTTTTCTGCAAAATTCTTATTCCTTGAGAACGATGGACCTTAAATCCGGGTTTTTTATTCTTATTCCTTCCGCATTTCTCAAGACATCCAGTAGGCGAGCAGTTGAACGAGACGAAGGATCTACAACTACATTGTTTACTCCAGAAATGTGTTGCAAATCTAAAGTAAAATAAAACAATGTAGTCCAGTTGTTGAGGCTTTCGAAGGGGGGAAAATTTCTGAAGGTGAGCTTCAAGACAAGTGGTTTGAGGTCGGTGAAAAGAGGGAATTTTTGGCTTTCAACAGAGTGTTGTAAGTGCCCTACAACACAATACATAGCTGTGAGTTCCCTACCGAAGGTACCATACCTCGGTTCGGTGTCTATGAAAGGTTGTCAGGTGTGGTTTACTCACTTTGTTAAGACTCATGCGATTGCCGAGTCGGGTTCTTCAACTGCAATACTAGTGGGATGCTTGGGTGTCCTGGTGTGCAAGCAGTGTTGCTTTGGCGATAAGTTCCTCAACTATGATGAATATTTTTTTCGCGATATTGTTCAAATTATTAGATTTCATATTTCCACAAAGTTGATCGGTACCATAAGATACGCCCTATTCGGTGTGGACCGTCGATGTAAACTTAACAAGCCGTTTAACTTACATAATTGCTTGATCATGTTCTGTTCTGGGTATTCCAGAATGGCTGTCTCTTTGCTTTTCAGGGAACGGATAGCTTGAGCACCAATTGTGTGTCCGATGAAATCTAAGGAGTCAGTTTCTTTCGGCATTTCCGAATGTTTATGGCAATGCCAAGCCTTTGAAGTCGTTCGAAAACAAGGCCCCGATGCTGGAGATGAGATTATCTGTCTGGACTTGCAATGAAGCAGTCATCAACATGCGCTTGTACGAAGCTGAGACTTCAGAAAACGTCACCTATGAACTTTCGGAAGGTCTGAGCAGCATTTCTTAAACCGAAAGGCATGCTTAAAAACTCATAGAGACCGAAAGGAATGATGATATTGGTTTTAGGGATGTCATCAGAAGTCATGAGAATTCGGTTATATGCTTTAACCAAGTCGATTTTCGAAAAGAGAGTTGTACCCTTCAAAATAGCTGTCAAATCGTGAATTTGGGGCAACGGTAACTATCAGAAATTGTTTTCGCAATCAATAACCGATAGTCACCAGTTGGGCGCCAGTCGTTGCTGTCCTTTTTAGGGACCACATGCAAGGGAGATGCTCATGGGCTGCCTGATGGCCGAATCAATCCGAAGTCTATCACTTGTTTTTATTTGTTTCTTACCAACCTCAGCTTTTCGGGAGCTAGTCAGCGCGCTTTCGGGAATACACGTGATTCTGTAGTCATGATACGATGTGCAACATTGCTGCTTGCACATGGTAATTTCGATTGCGAATTGTATATCTCAGGATATTTATTGAGTATTTGTTGGTAGTATGGATCGATCGTGTGTTTTACTGTGACTGGGGATAATCTACAACTGGAAAAATAAGTTGCACAAACAGATAAATTAGTCGTTTTATTTATTGGCCCCGTTTATGCGTGTCGATGAGTAGATTACGGTGTTGTAGTAGGTCTATACCAATAATTTGCATAAAAAACATCTGCAACGACGAAGATCCAGTGGATGGTTTCACGCAAACCCACATCAAGACACACATATCTCATACTGCATATGGAGGTCGGTTTTTAATTTGTCGCCTGTAAGTTGAGAACCGCTTCTTGCAGCCGGTCGATAGGATTCGCTGGGAGAAAGCCAAATTCTGCTCTGATGCCAACGAGATAGCACACTTTTGTAGTCAAATCAATGACGTATAAACGGAAGATATGTTTGCTGGCTATGGTTGGCGTGAATTTGTGCCAACTGGCAAGTTTTTCACCGACGTTTTTCACGTCGGTCTGTTTTAGAGTTCAGAAAATTCTGAGGTTTACTACAATTTCGGGAGGATTTTCCGTAATGATTATGATACCAGCACCAATCAGAATTACCTATCTCTTGTGATCTAGAGACAGATGGTTTTCGAGAACTTACTCGAAGAGTTTGTGATTGCTTACGGTCATGACGAATACAAAGGTAACATGGCAGAGTATAACAGAGTTCCGTAACGTCATTTCGCTTGATGCTTTCCTTCAACTGAAATCACTTCGGCGCTTGACATTTTCGTGATCTTTACGATTAGGTCTGGTGATTCAGTAAGCTCATCTAAAGCGTTGTTTTGAAATGAGGCAATCACTAACTGTACCCGTTTAGGAAGCATAGACAAGAAAATTTGTCTAAACAGGCCACTGTTGAAGGTGCGTTTACCAATGACCCTCTTATTCGTAACAACATATTTGTTGCTGAGTCATGTTGTAGATAGATGTTATTGAGAAGTTGACATAACCTTTGTCGATTGGTTAGATATTCACGCTTAAGAATATACCTTTTGGGAGTTTCATAAGGCTCCAAAACGTCACTAGTAAACATACAAGGTGTGCCGTACCTATTGAATTCGCGCGGTAGTGCCTTCACTACTGTGAGGAATCGTGAACGTGGATCGGTCAAGCCGTGCGCATGGAAGTCAGCTTCTGTGTACCAGAACCAGGCTTCAATGTTGCCGGGCCAGAATGGCATTAACTGGAATAAGGGTAGAGTAAGAGTTTTAACCTTAAGTAACTTAGATATCTGTCATGATGAATATAAGGTATAGAAAAGGACGAGGAGAAGAAAAATATCCGAGAACACAGGAAAATATCAAAATATACTGGAAGCAAAGTAAAGAAATGACGCATACCGAATCACATCGACCTTATAACTAGAGATGCCACAAGTATTTGGAGTTTAACGACACTTTTTGTAATCGAAACATGCCAGTCCAGTGAAAACAGAAGTCAGAGGTGTGGATGTCCGAAGTTATATTTGATAATTTATCGATATATCGAGAAGTGGCTGATCTAATCTGGCTAGTGGTTGTAGGGGAAGTTGAGCACAGTGCACCCACTCGTGATCGGATGGGGATGCATGGCTGAGAGCCTTCAGTCAAGTGAGTTCATTAAGACTAATGCGGCCAGTATCAAATGTTGAAGACTTGCAGAACTATTTATTTTGGGAATTTATTCACCGCTACAAACTGTTATCATTATCACACATCAATAACTACCTCCTGACTCGCTTATTATCATCCCTCTTTCCCGTTTTGTTCTTACGCCTCTTCTTCCACTGTATGAATCGACAGTTAAGTAACGTTTAGCGCTCGAGTTATCACTTTATTATTTTTATAATTTCAAACAACCAACCTCCTGATTTGATGGCTATAGGTATCAGGAATCACTAGTCTTTTAAGACAGGTTCACTCATTCGTACTAAAAGATAAACAAGTCCATAAATAATCTCCAAACTGACTGCAAATAGCGCTGCAGAGTGACTAGACTACCATTCATCGAACACAACCATATACATGAAACCGTACCAAAATAAAAATAAGATAGAACATAGAAGTTAATCGACCTATACAGGCCCGTGACAAAGAGATAAGACACAACGTGTGGGTTATTCAAAATTATTTTCCCAGGTATGTTGACAGAAAATTTAAAAGTACGTGAGAGTAGGATTCATAAAATAATACAAAACGTATAAAATATGATTTTACGTCTAGAGAAAGAAAAGCTGTGTTATTTGCGCATCAGATGTTGCTTGTTTGAACTTACTCATTGTGTCTGAAGCCAATCATCACCAACTGGCAATGTAACAGCGCTGTTTTAAAAGATATGGATATAAAGACAAGAGCTATTGAGTATTTTTCTAACAACAATATTTTGAAAGAACTCGAGAATGCTTTGCAACTAATGTTTCAGGAGAATGAGTCAGATCATTTCGGCTATTTAGTAACCACATTTGAGTGACTAACATTTTACAGAGCAAGTATTTCGAACAGATTTCACTTACTCCGAAAGTTGTCAGCATCAAAGTAGATGAAAGTTATTCTTGTATTGGCACCTCTTCCAGCTCTTTGAGTGTATTTACACTGTGGCGAACAAAGACTGAGGTTTTTTGACAATTTTAGTAGTTTAATTTACTGAAGGTTATCACAAGAGTAAACTATATTTATGGATGCAATAATTGTCTTTCATATGGGAATATTTTAAACAAATCGACACCCTCTGAATTTTCAGTTTGTGTAGATTCAGTCCTGGATTTACTAAACAATTGCCTATGGTCGCCATTGGAGATGATTGAAGTCGATAAATATATCAGGTAATAACTCCTTTTTGTAGCTTACCTTCCATTTTGTCGAATGACTTTACGAGCCATGAATACGTTCTTATCCTGAGGATACAGCATGTATAATCAGAGCTACAAATCGTCCACAGGACAGTTGTATTTGAATGTCTGTAGCAAATCTTTGTGATCACGAGAATACGTGATTTGTCATAAACTTTGGACAAGTGAATTATTCTAGTCTTTCTTTTTTCCAAAATTTTGTTATTTTGGTTCGTTTAATTACTTACGTGAAATTATAAGGGCGCTTTATACACGTGTGTATGCTAGTGGGTACGTATCTGTATAATTGCTTGTACCTTTCGTGCTTATAGATGCCGTCATGTTTTGATTGAAAATAATTGGTTCATTGACCGCTTTTTATCTATCATCTTGAAGTCCGCACTATCAAGTTGGGTCATGAAATAAATTCAACCAACTTAACTATAATTTTATTTTTTATTATATCTGTAGACCAAACTCGGTTACCCTACGTAGAATATATGAAGTCAAACAGAGAATTTATGTTCATAGCGAATTTGTTTATTTGTTATAGAGTAAGATATAAGCACTAGATGTTTACTATTTTAGCACTTGATTCCCTATTTAGTATAATCATTTCAGCATTTGGTAATATCATTATTTTTGGACATCCAACCATGTCAGTCATCTACTCTTGTCATGCTTCTGGAGCAGAGATAAGTATATTTATTATGTAATGCATCTGTAATGTCTCTTCTGATCAGCATTTAGCTGCAGTCTGATCTAACTTCAAAGGGAACACATGTCAAATAATGTCTAATAATCGTTAAAAGTAACTGATAATTCCATTTACGGTACCTTGCTATGATTGCAAATAATGGAATGTCTTGAACAGGTGCGTCTAACTCATATTCAACACGACATATTTCCTTAAATCCTCACTTTCAATGTAAACCATAAGTATAACAGCAAGAAAAAATAACCCCTGATATTCGTACTTTTCTACTCATGAAATTTATTACAAATAATACCAAGTCAACGTCTATTTTTTATGCTATCGGCATCAAATGCTAACTAGCGTGTTTGTTGGATAAGTAAGTATATAATTCCTTTGTCTGATAACTTTCTATAAACCGTCTGTACTAGAAAATGATTTTCGAATAGCGAAACATCAGTTCAGACGCTATTAAATCTAACTTATATGAATAAAGTATTGCTCTTGAAATCGTCTTCACAGTATCTTAACTTCACTAAAAAATCGAGATAAAATAAAAACAAAAGCATAGTAGATATGGGTGAATTTGTATGGATATGTGGGAATGAAACCTGGCCAAGTATTACTTGAAAAAACCTGCGGTTGCATATGCATTTTATTATAAATAAACATTAATCAAAAAATGTCAATAAAACAATAGACTCTTTAAAAAAAACTGTATTTTGACGATATCTGTAAGTCATTTATATAAAATATGATATGTACTATTGTTCATCATTCTGACAACAATGTATTGATCTTTTGTGTGATTGAGTTTTGGTGCTAGAGAATGATTTCGGGTTTTTAAAGATACTTACTATAATTGAATTCAGACGTTTGACTTTGGTAATCATGAGAAATACATTAGACAACTGAGGATCAATGCATTTTGATGTCGTGTGATTAAGATTGTCTTAGGGGAATAGATTTGATACTTTCCCTCTTACTAAAAAATCGTTTTATTAGTTGTGCGCAAGAAATAAATTGCTTACTTACGCCTGTTACCCTTCGTGGAAGAGCATAGGCCGCACACCAGTTTTATCCATCCAACCCTGTCCTGGGCAATCCTTTCCAACTCTTTCCCGTTGTTATTCATTCTTTTCATATCTGCTTCTATTTCCCGGCGTGGTGTATTCTTTGACCCTCCTCTTTTTCGCTTCCCATCAGAATTCTAAGTTAGGGCTTGCCTCGTGATGTAGTTTGATGATTTCCTTAATGTATGTCCTATCCACTTACAACGTCTTTTCCCAATTTCCACTTCAGATGGAATATGTTTTGTCCTCTCTCATAAAACGCTGTTGCTGATTGTATTTGGCCAATGGATGTTGAATATTTTGCGTAGACAACTGTTGATAAATACTTATAGCTTCTTGACGATGGATGTAGTAGTTATCCACGTTCCAGCTCCATACAGTGAGACTGTTTTGACGTTCATATTGAAGATTCTCACTTTGAAGTTAGTTGACAGTTGTTTTGAGTTCCATATGTTCTTCAATTGTATAAATGCAGTCCTTGCTTTGTTAATCCTCGCCTTTACATCTGCATCAGATCTTCCTTGTTCATCAATGATGCTTCCCAGGCACATGAATGTTTCCACTTCTTCCAGAGTTTCTCCATCAAGTGTGATTGGCTTGGCGTTCTCCATGTTGTATTTGAGAATCTTGCTTTTCGCTTTGTGAATGTTGAGGCCTATTGATACACAGGCTGGTGTTACATTTTTCGCCTTCATCTGTATTTGTTTGTGTGTAAGAGATAAGAAAGAAATGACTTAGAATTTGATCAAATATATATCCCACGAAATCAAATGTATTCTTTCTTTTCATTTGCATGACTATGATGCTAAAATGTTTAAATACAACCTTCTACTTATGAACTTTAAAATTTAGAAACTTCTACGATGAATATAGAAAGCAATTCAATACAATGCAATCAAATGAAAGTAAAAGTGAACTAGAAGATATTTGTTCAAAAGAAGTTCCATTAAAGTCTACAACACCACAAAATGCAAAGTAAGTTTAAAGATAGTTGTATTCTTTCTCCTTTGATGTATTGTTATGTGAATATGTGTTATATCTCGAACTCAAATTCTTAGTATATCGCGTAATACTTGAGCATTCGAAGGCTAGAACCCTCCCAAGCCGCAAAATAAGAAGACAGAAGACAACTGAGCAGGAATGTTATTCCAAACAGTGTCAAATATAGTACAAAAATCTCATGTATTTATAGTTTTTGGCTGAAAGTAAAGACAATTGGTGAATGGTTGATCAACTTCGTGGATCAGTTGAAGTTAGGTATTAACACCGTTGGATGCCGAACGGCTCAGTGGTCTATCGGTTAAGTGCTCTGGTGCGAGACTGGTAGCTCCTGGTTTCGAATCTCGCGAGTGCGGGATCGTGGATGCGCACTGCTGAGGGCTCTCATAATAGGACGAAACGGCTGTTTGGTGCTTCCAGGTTTTCCATGGTGGTCTACCTTCAATTGACTCACCCTTTCAATTATGAAAATATTAAATCCCCACAAAACCCCTTCTGAAAGTAAATCATCATTTCGAATAGCCAAAAGACACATAGGGGGTCCTTCTTATTCAACCAATAGGGAAGCTACACGTCGACATTCTAGAGTGTTCCTCTAGTGGTGATTGGATGGAATGTCTTCAGCTCTTTCTGGGCTTGTTGAGGCTTCCTTGAGTTTGTCAACGACCCATCCTAACAATATGGACTTTGGAAAATGAGTTAACAAGGTATTAGTAAGTAATATTAAAGTTATTGTTCACCTTTGATTGAGATGGATTAAGAAACTATAGTTGACTGTTAGAAACGTTAAATAACATGACTAAGGGTTGGAAATAATGATGAAACTACACAGCCTTCAGCTCTTGAGTTTTAGTATTATTATTTTGGAACTTTACTTGTTTAACTTTCAGTTTTCATCACCTTCAGTTATTTGGCCTTCTCTTTGCAATCAATATTCTTCTGCGAATTGAGTTGTGGAGACTTGAACCACTGAAAACCTGGAAGCACTGGACGACCATTTTGTCGTGAGCAGTGCATATCCACGATCCCGCATGTGGGATTACATCAAAGCTCAACAAGCTCCACAACCCTATAATAATAATAATAAGATCGGTCTTGTTTGATATATATGGATCCTCTGTATACTGTCTCGATATAGCCACTACAATAGAAGTTTATGTAGAATGAGTGAAACGTGGCTAGCAATGGAATACAAGATAAATTTTCCGTCCTATATAAGATGGATCATCTTTAATTTTATTTTGTTTAAACACATAAATATTCGTACAAGGAAGCACTAGATAAATATGCGCCACACAAATCTCATTTGATTTGTGTAAGGGCTGTGATACTGCCCAGGTGCCCAAACTGAAGCAGGTGGTTTTCTTAGGGGACCACATCCCGAGCCTTTGGCCTAAAGGTCTGATCCACAAGGCAGTGGAACATCATGAAGAGATGCAGTCCCATGGTAGCCGGTGACCAACGATTGATTCATACGCCATTTGTTCCCTGAGGATACTGGAGCCCATGTGCACGATTCGTTTGGAATCAAGGTTTTCCAACTCGCCTAGGTGGATGCTCCGTGTCTACCAACCCGGTTAAAGCGCCAGACATTCGCTTTTCGTCCTATCAATTTCGTAAACAACAGTAATGCCACGAGAAGGCAGTGAGTAGGAATTCCCTGAGAGAGTCTATATACGCGTGGTCATGTGAGAGCATTTGGAGGGGGAGAGTGGACCCTCCTCACTCTCAGCCGTACCAGGGTATTTGTCGGACCCATCATCTAGATGTAATCGCATCCCAAAGTTGATGTCCACTCCGGTATTTGAACCCAGTATCGTTCAGTTCAAACGGCATCGAGTCATCTACTTAGCTTCTTAGTTCGGGCGGACACACAGTCGTGGATCAGATATGAAGTATAAGTTAACTTTAAATGGTTTGAAATATCTCGCTATACATATTTTCTCTGAGTTTTGATCAATCTTAAATGTCATCTGTGCATCTAGTATATATCTCGATATAATAGCTATGTGGCTAACTCATTGACATTTGAAGTCAAGAGTACCAGACTCAAAAATTCAGCACTATCATTCACTTTGAGATGGAAGTACATTAAGCTGACCAGTCCCTTATAGAATGGAATACACGTCATTAATTATAGTGCTAGCCATATTCCATCTATTCTATATTGATTCAATTTTTATGCATATAACAACTTCAAAACTTTTGTTGTATGAAATTAGTTATGATTTCATTTTGGTTGGATGATTAGGATCATTAAAATTATCAAAACGTGTACAACTATTGACTGTACATGAAGAAAATGTTCACTACTATTGGGAAAAAAGGAAATGATCTATAAGAATATTAGTATTGTTTGTTTGAATCTTTCCATTGATGTTTAGGACAGCAACGGGTCAGTCTCTTATCGGTATATACGCATGCAGTGTTGATTGTCTCGATATAGCTTTATTTCACAAGCATTGTAAGCAAAGATGAATAGTGGCTAGCAGTGGAATCCAGTTTGATATGCGTTTCGTCCTATTTTGAACTCGTCAGCTGGATGTACCTGCCACATCTCACACTTGTTGATGTTCACTCTGGAACTCGAACCCAGTACCTTTCGCTTAAAACGCCATCGCGTTATCCACTCAGTTACTGAGTCCACTTGCTTGTGCAAAGGAGTGAAGTTTGAATTCACATAGTATTGTTTGTTTGAATATTCCTATTGATGTACAAAATTTCGAGCTTTTATCTGATACTTCCAGTTTAAAAGGAATAATCTATAAAGTGGTATATCATTGAAATACGTTGACACTAGCAGGAGTGAAAAAGTGATCAGAAAATAAGACAGTTGTACCGTCATTAAATCATTACTGATATCCATAATAAACCAGGCTAAATGTTTTCGAATATATAGTTTAGACAAACCACACAAAAAACTTTCAGGATGAAGTGAGTAAAAAGAAGCTAAATGTGGGGAAAAACGAAAAAAAATTACAGTAAATTCTCCACCATCTCAAAATTCTCATATTTGAGATCATGAGTTAATTGAAGCTAGACCATCAAGGAGAACCTAGAAGCACTAGACAGCTGTTTCGTCCTAGTATGGGACTCCTCAGCAGTGCGCATCCACGACGGCGCTTTGGGAGATTCGAACACAGGACCTACCGATCTCGCGCCAGAGCACTTAACCCCTAGGCCACTCCAACCAATCAACAAAGTTGAGCAACCATTCACCGATTGTCTTTAGTGAGTTGATTTCTCACAACAGACGTGGTATGAACACCACTGGTCACTGCTTCTCACTAGAACTCCTAGATTAACCTCTCGACGTCAGTCACTAGTCAGCATATGATTATTATTATTATCAAAAGGGGTTTTATGGTGATCTAGTATTTTCATAGTTGAAAGCGTGAGTCAATTGAAGCTAGACCACCAAGGAAAACCTGGATACATCAGGAAGTAAAGGATGAATTGAAAAATCGCTACAGCACATTGAAACAAGCCGATCCCAACGTAAAAGATTTGTAATTGTGAGATATACTACTTTATAACAATTATAAGTAGTTTAACACAAAATGTAAAAAAGTGAAAAGGAAAATTTGCACAATGTTTAAACAAGTTTTTAAAACTATTACAATCATCTAACTAAATCTCATTTGTTTTCCAATATAGAAAAAAATCTACTAAAGATGTAGTTACACTTATACCAAATCAACTAATCTTACTTGCACCATTAATTGCAACAGATTTAACTTGGTTATCAATGAGTTTACATTTAACAGCAATGAAATGTTCTCCAACAATGAACAATTTTCAAGCATATATGAAATCACTTTATGAAGAGGTAGATAAAGAAATTTTTGTAATAATTGAGTAAAGATTATCGTTTTATAGTTGAATTCATGAGTCAATTGAGGCTAGACCATCTTGGAAAACCTGGAAACATTTGACGACCATTTCGTTCTATTATGGAACTGCTCAGCATCCACGATCCCGCCCTGTGAGATTCGAACTCAGGACCTATCAGAATCGCACGCGAATGCTCAACGCTCAGACCAAGAAGCTGTTCGACATCCGATGGTGTTAATACATAACTTCATTTGATAAAGTGCAACTCATTGTTTATAGTCAGACAAAAAAATAACCTTAAGACTTTGATGAACAAAATAAACGATGCACATATACATTAATATTAAAAACAGTCAAGGTTATAAGTGGATAACTGATATGGTCGAACTATATGTGTAAGGAGAGTAGGTTAATTGATCGTTTGAAAATATTTTTAGACTTGGTAGCATACAAGTGGATGTCCATACGAGAGCGAAACAATCAAGCTTTTTTGTTCACGTGTCCCTCGGAATAAGCTGTGATTCAGTATATCAAATGTCTGTCTTGAAATCCTGAGTGACTGACCGAATCAGATGCTGGAAAGTCAATTTGTAGATTAGGATTAGTGTGTTCTTATAGTAATATTTAATCCCCCATAGGTTTTCAGAATGAGTCTATTAGACTTCGTAAGAGCATAGGTGACAGGATTTATGTTTCTTGAAGTCTTACTGTCAGTTGACTTGTAAGCGACCTCTTAATTTCAATTTTTTCCATCGAATCATCAACCAACGATAACTCAACTGAATATGAAGACCAAAATAATCAAGCTGTATATTTGGATGCAGCATAATATGATTAGTGAAGAGCGAGTCAATAAAAAAAATAGTCTTAGATATCGCTTCGGTCTGTTAGAAAAACACAAAAAACATTTGCATTCAACTAATTAAAACACGATACTACAAATCATTCATTATAATTATAATACTTGAGATCATGTGTTATTTGAAGCTAGACCATCTTGGAAAACCTGGAATCACTGGATGGCCATTTCGTCGTAGTATGGGACTCCTCAGCATTGGAGTTTAACCAGGTCTGTTGTGAGATAGTAACTCACTGAAGACAATGGTGGATATGTCACTCAACTTCGTGGATTGGTTGAAGTTAGACATTAACATCATAGGATGCCGGTTCACTGGTCTAGAGGTTAAGCGCTCGCATGCGATTCTGATAGGTCCTCGGTTTGAATCCCACGAGGTGAGATCGTGGATGCGCACTGCTGAGGATTCTCACAATAGGACGAAATAGCCTTACATTCTTCTAACTATAATCTCATTTCATTTGTTCTATATTTAAGGTTATTCAATCAATCATATCCGAAAAAGGATCCACTAATTCATCCATTCCTTCTCATCAGAACCATTTCAATAAAATCACATGTCCAATCATAACAATATTTAATTGTTCTGAATGTACTGGCGGTTTATCATCAGGGAAGTGTAGATTTCTAAAAGAAATTCTTCTTGTACCTAAACCATATTTAACACCAAAACAAGTAGGTTATATACACATATGTTATGAATTTTAAAAGAGGCTGTCGCCAAGTTTTTGTTATTTGATGTTCAACTTTTTATCACGTAAATTATCCACCAATCAAGATACGACTTATCCAATCTTGGCACTGTGTCAAAACAATGACATTCGACCGGTATGAGCAGTCTAGAATCTTTATTGGTCCCTTGTCCGCCTAGCACTTCCAATTGAGTCCAGAACACCAACTATAGCTTCTACTATGCGAATCATTTATTTTAAGCATACTCGGTTTATATACCAGATAGACAGACCGCATCATACCATAAAATAGAAAATAATATTTGTACAAGATTAAGCCAAATGTGGCTGTGAACGTGGGATATATTCTTCAAATAATGTAGTGGATACCGATCATTGAATACTACATCAAAGCACAGTACAACTACTGGAGCTCAATATCTGATTTTTTGTATTGCCTACGTAGAATCATTACATTATTCATTATTTATTTTATTTTTTGTGGAAGACTCATTTTTTCATTCTTTTTTGAATCAATAAGAATTATGCAATGATTCTTTGTACTAATCGTAATCATTTGTGGGGTATTTATTTTATTTATTTAAACACATATATATTGGTACAAAAGGGCACCAGATACATATGCGCCACACAAAATAATGAAAGTAGGAAGAGAAGGGATGAAAAGATAAAGCGGACTGAAATGTACAACCAGAAGACTCTTTCAGTTAAGAAAGTTAGAACCATTCTTTATGTAGAAAGTAAAAGAAGGTTGCAGCAGGATCGCCACTGGCTTCTATTCTGAGCCATATCTGATAACGTCTCTAGCCACTGTGTTGCACCATCTCTCGTATCCCAACCAAGAAGTCGTGAAGGACCAACAGAAGCTAGCCCTTTGCAGCTCTCTTTCATGCCACGACACCATGTCATACACTGACCTCCTGTCCGCTTTTTTCAACCAGTCCCAGGGTCGGCAAATAATGCACGACGTGGAAGTCTCTGGGACGACATTCGTAAAACATGTCCAAGCCACCGAAGTCGGTGTTTCAAGATGGTGACACCAACTGAATTATCGTCTCTGCGCCCGAACACACGATGCCGAACCTCTGCATTACTAACATGGTGTTGCCACTGGATGTCAGCAATCCTTCGGAGACAACGATGATCGAACACAGAGAGACGTCTAACATCCTCAACTCGGAGAGGCCAGGTTTCACAAGTATAGAGCAAAACTGCTCTCACCGACGCGTTGTAGATCCGACCTTTTACAGCCCGACTAACATCACGAAGGCGCCAAAGATGGCCCAGATTGGCATAAGCCGCTCTGGCTTTCATTATACGTGCATCAATCTCATCACTCTCGCCACCACCAGCACTTATATAGCTACCTAGATACACGAACTTCTCAACTACTTCGATCTCCTCACCATCCAGGGTGAGTACAGGATGAGAATCCTGCCAGTCTTGTAGGAGTACTTTGCACTTGGAGGGTGCAAAGCACATGCCGTACCTGCGGACACTGATTGCCAACTGATTAAGTGCTGATTGCATGGCTTGGGCATTATCGCACAGTAAGACAATATCATCCGCATACTCAAGGTCGATAAGTCGTTCTCCAGGCAACATATCCACACCGCCATTACTCACATCCACCAGAGCTGTTTCCAGGATGTCATCGATGGCAAAGTTGAAGAGGAATGGTGAGATCGGGCAACCCTGCCTAACCCCACTGCTCGAATGGAACAAGGGAGAAAGGTGGTTGTATGCCCTCACTCTGCCTGAGGTGTTCGTATACAGGGCCTTTAAGATGTTAATGAACTTCTCAGGCACACCCTTCTTCAATAGACAATCCCAGAGAACAGTCCTGTCCAACGAATCGAAGGCCGCCCTGATATCAAGAAACACTACGATTGTTGGCCTGCGATAAGTATGACGGTGTTCTAACATTTGGCGGAGGGTGAAGATGTGAGCAATGCATCCTCGACCAGAACGAAAACCAGCCTGCTCCTCGCGAGTCAATCGTTCTCGGGTTTTAAACAACCTACGGAGAATGATAGAAGCCAATAGTTTGGACGCAATCGAAAGTAGACTTATCCCCCGATAGTTATTGCAGGAACAACGTGAACCCTTTTTAAAGATAGGGACGACTATTGACTCATTCCAAGATGTTGGAACACTTTCTTGCTCCCAAACCTTTCCAAACAACACAGTCAATTCCATAGTCAGAATGTCACCACCATCTTTAAAAAGAGCCGGAGGTAAGTTATCTGGGCCAGGTGATTTGTAGCGTTTCAAGAGTTGGAGTTCCTTGCGGACTTCCGCCTCGTTTGGTGGATCAGTCGTCACCGGCCATGGGGGGCAGGACAAGCTGGTTGATGTTGCCGGAGCAGCAGGCCAGTTGAACTGCACTTCGAAAAATTCCGCCCATCGTCCAAGACGTCGACAGATGTTAGTGATTGGCATCCCATCATCCTCGTAGATTGTTTCACTCACACCAGTCTTCTTGCTGCCAGTGGCTCGGATGAGTTGGAAGAGCTTCCGGCAGTTACCAGATGCAGCTGCTGCTTCCATCTCATTAGCACGCTCCGACCACCAGGCTTCTCGGTCCTTACGCAAGCTTTGCCCGATTTCATTACGTAACAGCCTTCGTTTGTGGTGTATAGGTAGAGTGGGTTGATTAGGCCGATCTCCACCACCCATGTTACTGCTCATGTTAGTACATGGGGAGTTGGAAAACCCTGATTCCAAACCAATGGTCCACATGGGCTCCAGTATCCTGAAGGAACAAATGGCGTATGAACCAATTGCTGGTCACCTGCTTCCATGGCACTGCATCTCCTCACGATGCTCCACTGCATTGTTGATCAGATTTTTAGGTCAAATGCTCCGGGTGTGATCCACTAACAAAACCACCTGCTTCAGTCTGCGCACCTGGGCAGTATCACAGCCCTAACACAAATCAAATGAGATTTGTGAGGTGCATATTTATCTGATTCCCGTTAATACCAATATTTATGTGTTTAAATAAATAAATAAATTGTAACAGTCCCATAATCCAGAAGGCACGACGAAGACGTATGAGTCCATTAAATAGGATCCCGAAAGTTACTCATACCTTATATCTTCACTAGGAATATAATATATATATCATATAAATATAATTCAATTAAAATTATATAATTTTCATCTTTTTTTTCTTTTTTTTTTCCTTCTTCATCATCTAGTTACTAAGTAGTATATTTATCATTAAAACAAAATTATCACAAATATTAATAAAGAAATCAAATGTAAGTTCGCCATAGCAACAACAACAACAACAAAAAACACAAAAAAAAATTTAAAAAAAATTTTTTTTTCTTCATCGATTTTTAGCTCAATCCACAATTGATTTGTGATAATGGTGCATCAAGTGTTATGATTGATAAACCAGAACAAATTATTGATTTATTAATAGAATTATTAGATATATGTCAATTAAATAATGAATTTTATATTGGTTTATATATATTACCAAAAAGAATATTTGATACGGTTAGTTTAATAGATAAAGTTATATTTTATATATTGTTGAAATCATGAATCAATTGAAGCTAGACTACCATGGAAAACCTGGCTGGAAGCACTGAAAGACCATTTCGTCCGACTGCGAGACTCCTTAGCAGTGCGCATCCATGATCCTTCCTCGAAAAATTCGAACACAGGACCTATTAGTCACACGCACGAGCTCGTAACCAATAGATCACTGAGCTGGCTGTCATCCAACGGTGTTAATGTCTAACTTCAACCTATCTATGAAATTGAGCTACACATCGACCATTGTCTTCAGAGAGTTACTAACTCATAACAGACCTGGTTAAACTCTACTGGTCACTGCTTCTCATTAGAACTCCAGGAAATTTCTCTTGATGTCAGTCACCAGTGAGTATATGTTGAATAATATTGGAAGAGGCTTTGTGGATATTATAGTAATTGTAGTAGTTAAGATCATGAGTCAATTGAAGTTAGACTATCATGGAAAACCTGGAAGCACTAAATGACCGTTTCGTCCTATTGTGTGACTCCTAAGCAATGAGCATCCACGATCCCGCTGCACGAGATTTGAACCCAGGACCTATCTATATTTATTAAAAATGGGGATTTCGTGGAGATTTTTTAGTCATTTTATAGTTGGATTTATGAGAATTGGATTGCTGTTTCATCCTAGTATGGGACTTCTCAGAAGTATATGTTCATAATCCCATCTCGAGAGATTCAAACTGAGGACCCTACAGAATCACTCGCGACTGCTTAAACTTTAAACCACGGAGCTCGTTGACATACAACTGTATTATTGTATAAATACATCTATCATTGTCTTCAGTGAGTTACTATCTCACAATAGAACTCCATTGGTATCTGCTTCTCAGAAGAAATCTGGGAAATACCTCTTGAAGCCAGTCACTAATGAGGTTATGATGATTATTGCCAGAGGGGGGGAGTTGTGGAGATTTAAGTGATTTAAAATTTCAATTCATTAGTCAATTAAAGCTAGACCACCATGGAAAACCTGGAACCACTGGACGGCCATTTCGTCTTAGTATGGTACTCCTTAGCAATGAGCATCCACGATCCCACTCCTGGAGATTTATTGATCGATATGTGCAAGTAAAATTAAGATTGAATATTAATTTAATTCTGTTGATTAATGTGTTGTTTATTATCCTGTTCACTCATCCATCTGTTCAAATAGAGGTTTGGCAATATAGCTGATGTCAGTTAGTGATGAATACCCAAAATCTAACTTTTAACCTTAAACATCAACTGCAGATCCCAATCCTTATCCTTCACACAGATTTATAACCCTCATTTAGTGGCTACTCTCAAGGTCATTTTAGCGTCGCTCGAAGGTAGTTCATAAGTTGTGGTCTAACAATATTTGGAAAGATGATCGATTAGTTATGTGGTAGTGAAACTAAAATATGATTGAATTCACTTGGTATTGTTTCCTTGTATCTTCCTATTGTTGCTTACGACTACAATTGGTCGGTCTCTTATTGACATATGTGCTTCCTATAAGGACTGCCTCGATATAGCCTTAATTTACAAGCATTATATGCAAAAATGGATAGTGGCAAACAGTGGAATCCAGTTTGACGCGCATTTCATCCTATTTGGGGCTCGTCAGCTGGATGCACCTGCCACATCTCAGACTTGTTGATATTCACTCTTGGGACTCGAACCTAGTACCATTCACTTCAAACGCCATCGCGTTATGCACTTAGCCACTGAGTCGTGATAGTCCTTTGCTTGTGCAATGGGGTGAAGTTTAAATTCACTTAGTATTGTTTGTTTGAATCTTCCCATTGGTGTTTAGGACTGCAACTGGTCAATCTCTTATCGGCATACGCGCATACTCTGCATATTGCCTTGATGCAGGTAAATTTAGCTGACGAGTCCCAAATAGGACGAAACGCAGGTCCTGGATTACACTGCTAGCCGCTATCCATCTTTGCTTATTAAAGATGATTAGTCACTGAATGTGGACAGACAGGCACATAGCCTGCTAACTATGATTTCTTCTCTTATCATTGACTTATTACTCCGGACTCATCGAGATTAACTGACTGACTGAATACTTGTAATTGTATTGAATTAAGTATTTTGCACTTTATACTCTGATTTTTCACTCTGGGTCCTGCCTGAATCCTGGATTTCATTCAATGTGACTAATCTTATGATCACAGTATATCAGAGAGGGAACCATCTCTGTTATATCATGAATTATTCTTTATTTATTCAACAGGTCAAAGAACGTTACGAGATTATTACTGGAACTTTAAAAACACCTGAAGAATTAGTCAATTATTATATAGATTTACTTGGAAAATATCCACAAATACGTTTATTAATTGATCCATTTAGAGCAGAAGTAAGTAATAGTAATGATATTGTTTGATTTGATAAAACACCTTATCGATCTGTAGTACTAGTGTGGTACTGTGGTGTGGGTTACTTATATCTACATAAGTAGTATATGATGATGGTCGGACATAGAATGTATTTCAGTAAAAGATCGATAAGGAGAGAACGGGAGCGAAACGCAATGCGTATAATAATGCAAGAACAAAATAATAATCGGAGACGATGGACTGATATATGAAGAAGGAATGGTCAATATTAAGACAATTGATTGTGTTACGTCTTGTAAGTTGAACGCTATATTCAGATCCTAAGCTATTCTGATAACCCCAGGCTAGAACTATTCAGCGACTTGAACACCAGTAAGAAGACACGAGTATTAGAGAAACACTTTACTGCAAGATTCATTTATGTACAGAAAATATAGGGATTTTATAGTAATTAAGAGACCTTGAGTTTACATAGTAACAGTGTGTTAATCAGCCAATCAGGATCTCGTTATTTTAGTAACATAGCTTCTAATTAATCGCTGATTGGTTGGGGCTCTTTATGAGCCTCTAGAGGCTCTGTTGGAGTTCTCTGTAAGCCGACTCAACAGATTGACAGTTTGCAAATTACCTAGTTACAATATGATTCTCATACTTTACTGAGAAATTCTGCAACCTTGTGCCTAAATACGGTACTGGGTTCGAATCCCAGAGTAAACATCAACTCTGAGATGTAGTTACATCCAGCTGACGAGTCCCAAATAGGAAGAAACGTGCGTACAACTGGATTCCACTACTACCCACTATCCATTTTTGCTTACATGGTTAATTAGTCTAATGGAAGCTTACAATAGGGTAGAATATGGAAAGAATTCAATACAACAAACTCTATTTGATATCTTGATCTTTCATACATATATGCATATAAATACAACTTATATTACATTTAGATATATTCGGTGTAGACCCTGGGTTTAAACAACGGGTAAACAAATATAAAAAAATTGTGAAGAACTGCTACAATGATTTAGATCAAGTAATTATAATGATAAATACAATAAATATTATAAGGATATGTATATGCGTCATAACATAAGCGTAAAACTTTCTAGGAATTGAAATACTTACTGAATAATAATAAGTAGTATAAAATAATATGCAAAAGAGTTAATGGGAAGTGAGTTAGGACAGACGGTGTAAAACAGATTTCACATATATATTTTTTCTAATAGTTGAGATCATGAATCAATTGACGCTAGACCACCATGGAAAACCTGGAAGCACTGGACGATCGTTTCTTCATATTGTGGGACTCCTCAGCAGTGAAGTTCAACCAAGTCGGTTGGGAGATACTAACTCACAGAAGACAATGATGGATGTGTCGCTTAATTTCGTGGATCGGTTGAAGTTAGGCATTAACACCGTTGGATGCCGGCCAACTCAGTAGTCTAGAGCTTAAGCTCTAACACGCGAAACTGATAGTTCCTGTTTACGAATCTTGAGAGGCAGGATCGTGGATGCGCACTTCTGAAGAGTTCCACAATAGGACAAAACAACCATCCAGTACTTCCAGGTTTTCCATGATAGTCTAGCTTCAATTGACTCATGATCTCAACTATTTCAATATTAATTTTTGATTTATGATGTTGTGTTTTCGGTTACTATGCACTTCATTTAAGGATAAACAATGTTGGGATTCATTAAATTCCCGTATTACAACATCAATATTCATTACAACTAGTACAATTATTCAACCAGCTATAAAAGAGATAACACCTAATCGATCAAATTCTGTTACTATGAAAAATTCTACAACAATCAATTCAACATTTAATGAACCATTAAAATTTAGTATACCAACTGGTTTAACTATATATGAATTAATGAATTGTCAACAAACTATAATGCAGAATCATAGTGATAATGTAAATACTATTGAAGTAGCTACTACTGATAATATTACTAATACTACTACTAGTACTACTAATACTACTATTGGTACTGCTGATACTACTACTAGTAGTAGTAGTACTACTACTATTAATGCTACTAATACTATTATTACTGCTAATACTACTACTAGTACTACCAGTACTACTAATACTATTACTACTACTACTACTGATAATAATAATGATTCAATACAAATACAAACTAATTCATTACAATCTATATCATTTAATAATACAATAGATAGATATGATCTATGTTATTCATCATGGTTATTTACTATGGATACATGTTTGGATTGTGTATTAATAACAGAACTTATTCAAGCAATTCATCAATTACATTGTAAGTAATAAGTGTGTATATATAAGTTATATAGTTGTTTGTATTAGTTGCTTAAATCTTCTCATTGATAGTTAAGATTGAATATCGGCACAAGGGGGGCACCAGATGTATATGCGCCACACAAATCTCATTTGATTTGTCTGAAGGCTGTGATACTACCCAGGTGTCCAAACTGAAGCTGACAGTTTTCTTAGGGAGCCACACCCGGAGCTTTTGATCTAAAGGTCTTATCTACAAGGTAGTGGAGAATCGTAAGAAGATTCAGTCCTATGGTAGCCATTTGTTCTGTCAGGATACTGGAGCCCATATGTACCATTGGTTTGGAATCAGTGTTTTTCCAACTCCCATAGGTGGACTTTCTGTGTCCGTCAACCCGGTTAAAGCGCTGGACATTCGCTTTTCGTCCTCTCAATTTCGCAGGACTTCCGTGGCAGAGGCTATATACGCGTGGCGATGTGAGAGCACTTGGAGAGGGAGAGCTGACTCTTTCCACTCTCGGCCGAACAAGTGCATTTGGGGACTGAAACTGATCAGTCTTTTATTGACAGATGTGGATTGTTTTAATATTGCCTTACGTCACAGGCACCATAAGCAGATATATGTAATATATATAGTTCATATAAACTGTGAGACATGAAACTATTGTGAATTGAGTCACTAGTCAATATCAAGTGTCACAGATACTTATCAGACTTCTAATTCTAATTTTGTCTATTCCTCATCTGTTGTCCCAAACTTGACTCACTATACGTTTGACCAGTACCGTCGACCTTGAGCCGATTCGTTTAAGCTCTTACCAGTCCGATATCCTGTCACCTTTCTCTATGCCTTGCCTTTGAGTTCGAAAAGTCAATAACCAGTTCCTATTGTAATGTCGGTTGATGGTAGTGGTTACTTGGATTTACATACAAACATGCTGGAGGGCATGACACCATGAATTTAAAAAATAATAATTATGTATAAACAAGCTAAAAGTGTTTGTGAATGGGGTAAGCTGTGAATAGTTGATTGACAATTAAGTAGTTATAATAAGTAGTATAATGAGAGTGACTAGATTAAAAGGAAGCCTATGATTAACAGGACATTTATACTTATAAATATCGGAAAAAGAATGCATACAACGTAGAACTTCGTACATACGTACATCAGTTTGTGTAGCCATACTACATTAGCACAGAGATGTAGTTGTCGATTAAAATCCCATGGTGGTAGAAGTAGTAAAAGTATAAGCAGTAATGTGAACGATTAGGGTTCGAAGATTTTGAGCCATGTCATTCAAGGTCTCTAACCATCGATTGCTGTCATCTCACGGATCTCAACCAGGCAGTCTACACCTATCAACATGGCTTAATCTAATTGTCAGTGATTTCATGGATTTGTGTCACGTTTTGGTCTGGCCGCCCCTAACTTTCTTCCAACCTACTCTTACACCATAAAACATTGCACGTCGGGGCAGTTGGTGGTTGTGCATCCGTAACACATATCCCATCCATCTCAACTGATGAAGTTTCACTACTTCATCAATTGATTTACCATCTTTACCTAGTACCTGTTTCCTAACAACTACATTCAAGCTATAACACGTTTTGACTATTATTAAACCTGGAAAATCAGATCTTATCCTTATTCTATTACTTAGTCGAACAATAAACTTTGATTACATTTTTGATGAATTGGATACTAATCTTAACTATCCTTCATTTTACATTCATATGTATCTATGTAACTGATTAATATTATGGTTATTTCAATAATGAAAACTATCAACTATCATTCAAAGTACAAAATCGGCAAGTTATATTCAGTTTGGATAATTTACAAGTGATAGAAGATTGGCCAATAGATATGGTGAGTATTCAGTTCATTTGTTAAATGTTAGTTTGATGTAACGAACCAATCATAGTTAGATAACCATTGGAAGCTTCTAAGCACTGGACAGCTGTTTTATTCGTGTGTAGAGCTCTTCATCACTCTGCATCAATAAACTTTGAACCAACAATCGAATTCATGACTTCAGTTCTCTCCGTCGAACTTTTAATCCTGAGTTCATTGATCCAACATCCAATAGTGTACAAGTTTGACTTCAGTGCGTATGGGATATTGCACGACCAGTTGGGTAGAACACTTCAAATAACTCTTGAATCGACCAGCTCCACTGAACCTACCAAACATCGAAGCAGCACCCACGGACCCTTTCAAACGATGTTGGCCCACCAACAATTGAAGAGATCAGCATCGCCATCAAGAGCAGCAGGACCAGACAGCATTCTAGAAGAGGCACTGAAAGCAGATGTAGGAGCAACTTCGTAGACGCCCAACTTCGAGATCAACAAGCTGTATTTCGTAAGGATCGATCGTGTACAGACCAAATCGCAACTCTACGGATCATTAAGGAACAATCAATTGAATGGAATTCATCACTCTACATCAACTTCATTGGCTACGATAAAGCATTTGATAGCGTGGACAGGACAACACTATGGAGGCTTCTTCGACACTACTGAGTGCCTGAGAAGATAGTCAATATCATACGAAACTTCTATGATGGATTAAACTGCCAAATCATTCATGGAGGATAACTCACCGAGAATGAAGAAAAACTGGACAGAACTAGAAATGAATGCCCAGGACAGTGTGGGTTGGGGAATGCTGGTCGGCGGCCTATGCTCCATTGGAAGAAACAGGCGTAATTAAGATAGGCAACTTCCTCACACATAACACGATTGAAATCTATTAGTAACGTGTCAGTGGTCGATAAGTTAGTCGTTTACTCATGAGATCGAATGTCCTATGTTCCATCTTTCGGAAGCTAAGATTTGTGTGCATTACTGAGTCATCTCATACTATGATGAAACAGCCATTAAGTGTTTACAAGTTTCCAATAGTTTTCTAACTTAGATCAGTTCTTAATCTCAATAAAACTACACAGTCTCCATAACCACACTTTGACAAGTATTTTATGTGGCCAAATGGAGATATTTTCAAAATAATACATGAAGGTGTAGTAACACGACTAGTAGTCTGCATTTTCTAATCAGAGAAGGTTGGAAAATTCAAAGGAATTCCAGTGCAAACTGTTCATTACTCATCTAATTATAGTCAACATAGAACCTGGTGAAACAGTGAGTGAATTCAAGTTCTCACACCGAATCAAGACAATAAAATATAATTAACAAGATGAATAGCGAAGGAGTAGATATAGTTGTGGTGGAAATCATGATCTGTAGAAATGTAAAGAATGGATGTATCTACAACACCGTGATCGGTTCTAAGCCATGTCTAACATTATCATCAGACACTCATCTACGTCCATACAAGCTCGATCTTGGGGTCTGTACCTACTAGGAATATTGTACCTCCACTTACTATGACATCATAAAACTCAATAACTGACCACTTACTTAAGCCTCCGTACCTTATCGGGTCCATTTCGAATCCCTTGTTGGTGTCCAAGAGATAATGCATCTCAGTAGTTTATCACATTATCAGTGATTGATGAGAATTTTACAATGGAATATTCTTATTCAATCGACAAGTCAATACACTATTGCCATCATTTAGCAGATCAAAGTAATCACTATAACTAGACAAGCAATTGAGAACATTTATTATATAAATAAACCATTTCTATAAGATAGAAATGTAATGTGAATTGATTCACTAATCGATATCAAGTGTCAGAGATCCCAGTCTATAGCTAAGTGGATAACGCGATGGTGTTTGAAACGAACGGTACTGGGTTCGAATTCCAGAGTGAACATCAACTATGAGATTCAGAAAATCCAGATGACGAGTCCGTTGCTGACCACCATCCATCTTTACTTATAAACCACGACAATATCGAAGCAATCTTTACACGATGAACATATACCAACAACAGACTAATCAATTACAGTTCCAAACATCAATAGAGAAGAATGTAATAGTTTACTTTATTATTTATTTACAAATATAAATATTGGTACAAAGAGCCACAAGATATATATGCGCCACACACATTTCATTTGATCTATGGAAGGGCTGTGATACTGCATAGGTGCCCAAACTGAAGCTAACGGTTTTCTTAGGGATCCACACCCGGAGCTATCGATCTAAAGGTCTGATCCACACAGCAGTGAAGCATCGTGAGGAGATGCAGTCCTATGGTAATCGGTGACCAACAATTGGTTCATACGCCATTTGTTCCATCAGGATACTATAGCCCATATGCACCATTGGTTTGGAATCAGGGTTTTTCAACTCCCCTAGGTGGACTTTCCCTGTCCACCAACAAGGTTAAAGCACCGGACATTCGCTTTTCGTCCTCTCAATTTTGTAAACAACAGTAATGCCACGAGAAAGCAGTGAGTAGGACTTCCCTGGCATGACCATATGAAAGCATTTCTTGAAGGAGAGCGAACTCTCCCCACTCTTGGCCGTGACAAGACATTTGGGGGCAGAATGTAATAAACAATACAAAATGAAATTTAATCCCTTCCCCCTTGTTTTTTTTTGTTTTTGAATGTTTCATTTATAGATTATGTCCCCTCACCCAACCACACCTCCACCTCATTTAATCCTATTCCCATTTTTTTAAATTTTTTTAGGCAATTGGTTTAGGTATAGATTTTATTAAATTAACTGGATTAAATAGAATTGATCAAATGAATAAATTAATTACATGGTATAATTATTATCAAAATATTATTGATCAGAATCATTTAATGACTGATTGGAAACTATATGATTTATCAATAATCGATAATTCATGAAATATATATCAATGTAAAAATACAAAAAAAAAGCTAGTTGCCCCCTTAGCAACAATTTTGTATGTTTAATTAAAAAGAAGAAAAAATTGTACAATGATAATGAATTGTGTTTTCTAAATACTACTATCTATCTTTGCTTATAATGTTTGTGAATTACGGCTATATCGAGGCAGCAATACACACAGAATACACATATTGCTAATAAGAGACTGATCAGTTGCAGTCCCGTACATCAATGTGGGAGATTCAACCAAACGATACCAAGTGGATTTAAAACTTCACCTCATTACGCAAGCACATTGCTATCAGGACTCAGTAGCTAAGTAGATAACGCGATGGTGTTTGAAGAGAACGATACTAGGTTAGAGTCCCAGAGTAAACATCAAATCTGAGATTCAGGTATACCCAGCTGATGAGTCCCAAATAGGACGAAACGTACGTCCTGAATTTCACAGCTAGCCACTATCCATCTTTGCTTACAATACTTGTCAATTAGGGCTATATCGAAGCAATCTGCACAGTATGCACATATGCCAATAAGAGACTGACCAGTTGCATTCCTAAACATCAATGGGGAGATTCAACTAAAACAATACCGAGTGAATTTACTATTCAATTAGTTATTCGAAACATAGAATCTCATATAGATGTAGATTGATTCCAATTATCTCATTGTATATGTATAACGTCATGAAAACTTTGAAGATAAATGATCAGAATAGTAAGAGTATTGATAATAGTATCAATTTAATCTTATAATTCTGCCTGTAACTGTTCTAGACTTATTACCAATCCCAAACCTTAGGGTTAATGAGGAAGATTGAGCATAGGGTCAGTAATCCTATTCCGTAGAAAATAACCTTGCTAAACAAACGACCCAACTAATCCTATTGCTTAGTATTCTTATACAAATGACACTCGACAAGACCCCCAAAAAATCAGAACATGTTGAACAGGAATGAAATTGTATCCAAAATAACAATGGTAGGTGAACAGCAATCAATCGTTAGGAAAAACGTTCATATATTTATAGTATAAGCATAAGAAGCTTCTCTATAATAATCTGCCAGAACTGATTGATTTAGAATTAACCAATCAGCGTGCACTGTCTCAATCATGCACATAACGTACCTAATCCCGGTTTATTTCCCGTTAACGCTATACCCTGAAAGTTGAAAGAAGAATTATGATGTTTTAGGATGAAAGCCAAGATTCTTCAAAGTCACGAGGTCGTTGCTTCTTTGAATAATCAGAGCAAATAGTTAAATGATGATTTTAAAAGGAAGAATGAATGAACTAGAGAAATAAGGAATATTTCAAGATAAAGCTCATTGTGATTATTTTATGAGACCTCCTTGTAAGGTATTTCGATAGATTTTAATAATATGCTATAGGATAATAAGGTTAAGAAGATTTTTATGTTAGTTCATGTTGTAAGATGTGGATAGAATTAATTATTTTAATAGTTAAGATCATGAGTCGATTGAAGCTAGACGATCATGGAAAACCTGGAAGTGCTGGATGGCCGTTTCGTCCCATTGTGGGGCTCTTCAGTGGCAGTGTACATCCACGATATTTAGATCAACAATTGATGTTGTGTAAATTGTGAAACTTTCCTTCTTTTTATTAAGTACATTAAGGTTAAGGAATATATGATAAATTTCAACAGGTCATCTTTCTTTATAATTTGAAAAAGCTTATCTGAATTATTTGGATATCGTTTACATGGTTGTTAACAATAACTATGTATTACTATCATTAGCCATAGTTGGAATCTTTGAAGTTCTAAAGGATTATTTGATGGTATTTTAATGTAGATTAGATATTCTTTGACATGAGTTATGGTTTCATGGACAGACTTTCCACTATGGAATGGATCATGATCTATACATTTTACTCTGTGGACATAATTCTATGTCGAATGAAAAAGGATATTACATTTTGTTTAAACCAAAGCATTTTGAAGAGTGTTTAGGACCGGCAGTATTCTTCGGTAGAGCTACTATATGGAGCATAAACTTGGAGAACTTTGAAAGCTATCGTCCAGAAGATACAGGTGTTTAATAACAGTTATCTACGCAAAATAATTTAGATCCATTGACCAGACACTATCAGCAACAACTTGCTGTAGGAAAGAACAGACCAGATTCAAGAGGAGGAAGAAATCATTCTTTTTTTTTCTTCTTTCTTTAATCTTCATAACTTTCTACCATTAGACATTTCACTTTCAACTGATAATACATACTACTTATATCTCTCAATATCAGTAGCATATACTACCATATAATTGAATAACAAAATAGACCACATTATTATCCATTAATATATTTACTATCCAATATATAATAAAGAGATGAAAATATTAAAATCATATTACATATTATGGAAATAAGATGAATTCCATTGAAAAAAAATAGAAATATTACTAAGGATATAATTACGTAACAATAGTATTACTACTACTACTACTACTAATAATAATAATAGTAGTAATACACACATTGAGGAAATCACCCTACTATGTCATAAGGCAATTCGTCACAGGGAATCCTGAAGGCCAAAAAGAGAAGAGGTAGATCAAAGAACACATTACACCGAGAAATGGAGACAGATATGAAAAGAATGAACATCGATTAGATAGAACTAGAAAGGAAGGTCCAGGATAGAATGGGTTAAAGAATGCTAGTCGGCGGGCTATATGCTCTTTTGTAGGGTAGTAACAGGAGCTATGAGAATAAGATGCATTTCACGGAAAAGATAGAAATATTACTAAGGATATAATTACGTAATAATAATAATACACACATTGCGGAAATCACCCAACTGCATCATAAGGCAAGTCCTCATATGGAATCTCGAAGGCCAAAGGAGAAGAAGTAGATCAAAGAACACATTCCGCCGAGAAATGGAGACAGATATGAGAAGAATGAACAACAATTGGATAGAACTAGAAAGGAATGCCCATGATAGAATGGTTTAGAGAATGCTGGTCGGCGGCCTATATGCTCCTTTGGAGGGTAGCAACAGGCGTAAGTAAGTAATAAGGGGTAACAAAAATTTTTGAAAAAAATATTTGATATATCTATTTATAGAATATCTTGAGCAGATAATAAACAATAGAATATATTCATAAAGGATAAAGATTTGGATGGAAATATCGGTTTATGTAATAAATGATTTTGTTGATACATTTCATTGAAATCTATTCTAGTTACCTAGATTGAAAAATTTAAAAAAAGGGGGAGGGGAATCAATATACGATAAAAAAAGTATAATTGGATTTTAGTTACTAGGTTAACTAACTACAGAATGATCGAATGATCATGATGTACCTATATATACATATATAGTACTTACTTACGCCTGTTACCCCCCTCCCAATGGAACACAGGCAGCAGACTAGCATTCTCCAACCCATTCTGTTCTGGGCATATATATATATATATCATCTGTTTTTTCCGTATTTATTATGTCAATCTAATATGTTTACAGAACTATGGTATATCAATAGTTGAAATACAAATGTATTTATTTATTTTATTTTATTTAAACACATAAATATTGGTACAAGGAAGCACCAGATAAATATGCGCCTTACAAATCTCATTTGATTTGTGTGAGGGCTGTGATACTCCTCAGGTGCCCAAACTGAAGCAGGTGGTTTTCTTAGGGGGTCACACCCAGAGCCTTTGACCTGAATGTCTGATCCACAAGGCAGTGGAGCATCGTGAGAAGATGCAGTCCCATGGTAGCCGGTGATCAACGGTTGATTCGTACGCCATTTGTTCCCTCAGGATACTGGAACCCATTTGCACCATTGGTTTGGAATCAGGGTTTTCCAACTCCCCTAGGTGAACTTTCCATGTCCACCAACCCGGCTAAAGCGCCGGATATTCGCTTTTCGTCCTCTCAATTTGGTAAACAACAGTAATGCCACGAGAAGGCAGTTCATCTAGGGAAACTATAATTGATGGACAACTTTCGAATAGCGCTAAAAATGATCTTGAAAACATCCATCTACTTATTCAGAGTTAAGTGAATGTTATAAATCATCATAAGGAATTAGAATTATGATTGACAGTTGAATGTTAAGTTTAAAAATTATATATACTGTTTTCATAACAAACTAACATCAGCTATAATGTTATTCACAACCTCAATCAGTTGATGAAGTTGTGAATCTTCATCGACTGAGATGGTCAGACCACTTGTTATGTATACCTGAACACTGATTACCATAACATGCAATGCTAACTAGTATAGAGGATGGTTAGAAGTGGAGTTATGGGGCGATCAAATCAAACCATGGTATCAGTGCTTGAAGTCACTAACTTCTAGTCTGAGCCATGTTGCCACTCTTAGATGCATAATAGATATCTTTTTTTCTATTAATTTTAAGTATTTTAGGCACCAACTATTGCCAAATTCCATCTACTTAAGAATAATATAAACCATTTTTCAATATGCCTTTCTATTTATCACAAAAGAACAATGAAGTGCCAGCTTAATTTTGATTGGTTCACTCAAGGTAGTTGTTATGGTGTAGTTTAATGCATGACAGTTAAATTACCAATAACCAATTAAAGTATTAGGTTGTTATACCTCCACACAGAACACACATAATGAATCATCAAGGTCACAAATGACAACATTTAAGAAAATTATTAAAAATATCTAACCGAAAACTAGAATGGCACATTTAATGGCCACATAAATGTAGACTACTTTGGTAGTATGATAATAGCTGGCTATAGAACTAAACCTAATTTTAAGCAAAGATGAATAGTGGCTAAAAGTGGAATCCAGTTTGACGCGCGTTTCTTCCTATTTGGGACTCGTCAGCTGCTTGTACCTGCATCTCAGACTTGTTGATGTTCACTCTGGGACTCGGACCTAGTACCGCTCACTTCAAACGCCGTCGCGTTATCCACTCAGCTGCTGAGTCCTAATAGCCACTTGCTTGTCCAATGGGGGTGAATTATAACCTATTTTTTTATTTTTTAAAAAGTAGTGTTTATTACAGACAACCTTGATGATGATGAAAGTTATGAGATTGATCATTGGTTGTTTTCGATATTTAATGAAAGTTTAATATATCCAGCATTTTTGAGCAATTCCCCATCTTAACATGGTAAATAATTAAAATCAGAAGGAAGTTTTATGATTATAGTAATTTAATAGTTGGATTCATGAGTTAATTAATGCTAGACCACCATGGAAAACCTGGAAGTACTGGACGGTTGTTTCGTCCTAATATGGGACTCCTCAGCAGTGGGCTTCTGATAATAATAATCATGTGCTCGCTACTGACTGGCTTCAAGAGGTAATTCCTGGAATCCTAATGAAAAGCTGTAACCAGTAAAGTTCAAGAGTTTCTACTGTCAAATAGTTACTCCCTGAAGACAATGGTGGACGGTGATGCAATTTAGTGGTTTGGTTGAAGTTAAACATTAACACCATTGGATGCCGACTCAGTGGTCTAAAGGTTAGGCGTTCGCATGCGAAATCAATGGGCCTTGAGTTCGAATCCCGTTGATGTTATCGTGGGCGCGCATTTCCGAGGAGTCCCCTATCAGGACGAAAAAGCGGTCCACTGCTTCTAGGTTTTCCATCGTGATCTAGCCTTAATTGACTCATGAATTCAACTATACAATAATTAAATGCAAACGAATTAAAACTTATGACTTTAAATGAAATCTTCCATATAAATTATTATTTGATAAAACTTACTTTTAATTGTAGGAATGGAAAATGTTTTGAATCCATTCTTGGTGCTTCCAAAATTAGTTTAGCTAAATAATAATAATAATAAAGTACTTTTAATATTAGGACAGAAATAATTGAGGGAACAAATGGCGTATGGATCAATCGTTGGTCACCGGCTACCATGGGATTGCATCTCCTTACGATGATCCACTGCCTTATGGATCAGATCTTTAAGTCAAAGGCTCCAGGTGTGGCCCCTTAAAATAACCACCTGTTTTAGTTTGGGCACCTGAGCAGTATCACAGCCCTCACACAAATCGAATGAGATTTAAATGGCGCATATGTATCGGGTGCTTCTTTGTACCAATATTTATGTGTTTAAATAAATAAACTGAAATAATTGTCTACAACAAGAATAGAATTGCACTGAGAGTTTAGATTTCCTGCACTACTCCTTACATAGTAAATAATATTTCACAAAAAAGCTAACAAGATGGATGCCTATTCAAATTACAAAAATGTTCAATTTGCATCAGTCAAACATCATTGAAATGTAACCTATAATGAATGTTTATCAAGATGATGGAGAAGATTTATACCTCAGATGTATGATTTCGATGAAGTTTTGTTCCCTGAGCTTGATGTTTTCGTTGTGAAGTAATTCATGTCTTTAAATTCACTTGGTGTTGTTTACTTGTATCTTCCAATTATCATTTAAGACTGCGATTGATCAGTCTCTTGATGGCATATGTACATCCTATGCGTGACCATGTGAGAGCATTTCGAGAGGGAGAGTGGACTCTCCCAACTCTCAGCCATACCAGGGCATTTGGGGGTGAAATATTGCCAAATTTACAACATACAGTTATAGACCGATAGATCCTTGGTTCAAACCTCACAAGGCAGGATCGTGAATGCACACTGCTAAGGAGTGATATAATTGAACGAAACAGACATGCAGTACTTCCAGGTTTTTCATGATGGTCTACCTTAAATTAACTCATGAATTCAACTATGAGAATGGTAATAATCATTATTAGTAGTACCATTGCATAATCATCAATTCTGAGTTCGAATCTCACAAGGCGAGATCGTGGATGCGCAGTGCTGAGGAGTCCGAAACTAGAACGAAACAGCCGTCCATTACTCCCATGATGGTTTAGCTTCAATTGATTCATGATTTCAACTACTTCATTATTAAAACTCTCCACAAAACTTCTCTCTAATTATAGATGTATCTAACAATAGTTGATCAGTTAATTATTAAAATAAATAACTTACTTTGATAATTTGAACTATTCAATAACCAGCCTACTAAAGATCCAAATGGAAAATCCATAATAAACCAAATTAAACTTTTTAAAATATTTTTAATCAGTAGTAAAATTAATTGAACCTAAAAAATTTGGGGTTTTTTTTGGGGGGGGGGAAAACAAAGAAGATTGTAATTTGCATTTAGCAATTAAATTACTTTATCTTTTAAAAATCAATATGTCATTATCAAAATAAATTGATGTTAGCTGTAGAGGTCAGTCAGTCAGCTACAACGTAGGATCAGGCACATATATGCATCGGTCCAAGTTCCCATACCTCGTTAGCACAACAAGATAAACACTGGATTCATAGTTGTTAATTTAGTGGTGGTAATATATAAAAGATAGGTTGTATATTAAAATATAGTACAGAAAGAAAGACGTATATGAAGCAATTTTAATCTGAAGGTTTAAGGGAAGATAAAGAGTGTATACACCTACGCCATTGTGATAGATTCTGAGCCATGTCACCCAGAGTTTCCAACCATTGGTTACGATAGTCACGCGGACCCCAACCATGCAGTCTGCATCTACCAACATGGCTCAAACTAGAAGTTAGTGACATCAAGCACTGATGCCATGTTTTGGTTTGGTCGCCCCTAACTCTTTTCCAACCATCCCCTACACTGGTCAACATTGCGCGTTGTGGTAATCGTTGTTCAGGCATACATAACACGTGGCCCAACCATCTCAGTCTATGAAGATTCATCATCTCATCAACTGATTTACCATCATTCCCTAATACCCTGCATCTAACCTCATTATTACTTACCCGGTTATTCCAGCAGATGCGAGCAATATTTCTAAGGCATCTGTGGTCAAATACTAGTAACCTACGAGTATCTTCTACTCTTAATGGCCATGTTTCACAGCCGTAAAGTAGAACAGAGCGAACTGATGCGCAGTATACTCGTCCCTTAATTGACAGACGGTTATCTCACTTTTGCCATAGGTGAGGTAAGTTGGCTAAAGCCAAACGAGCTTTTTGAATCTGTGCTGAGATTTCGTCAGACACCAACCCAATAGGACTGATCAGACTTCCGGTGCTTTAACCGGGTTGGTGGACACAGAGAGTCCACCTAGAGGAGCTGGAAAACCCTGATTCCAAACCAATAGGGCATATGGGCTCTAGTATCCTGACAGAACAAATGGCGTATGAATCAATCGTTGGTCATCGGCTACCATGAAACTGCATCTCTTCACGATGCTCCACTGTCTTGTGAAGTAGACTTTTAGGTCAAAGGCTCCGGATGTGGTCCCCTAAGAGAACCATCTGCTTCGGTTTGGGCAACTAGACAGTATCACAATCCTCACACAAATCAAATGAGATTTGTTTGGCGCATATATATCTGGTGCTTCCTTGTACCAATATTTATGTGTTTAAATAAATAAAAAAATTGAACATACGTTTTATAAGATATTCGCTTGTTTTTATAATCAATGAAAATGTAATCTAATAGATGTATAATATTGATTTTGTTTATATTGATAAACAAAATCTATCTAATACAAACAAAAACAATCATGTTTATTTACATGTACCATTCTTGGTTACTATTTATATCATTATAAATCATGTGGAAAAACAAGATCATAAAATTGAGCAACACATCCATCATTGTTTTCAATGAGTTACTATCTCACAACAGACTTGGTTGAACTCCACTGGTTATTGCTTCTCACTCGAACTCTATGAAATACTTTCTTAAAGTCAGTCACTAGTTAGATAACAACATTAGTTAAACGTTAAGGTTTTATGTGAGATTGGAGATTCGCCATTGACATTGTGGATGGCTCGGTATTACTTTGGCAAGTTTTGCTGACTGTTCATGTGAAAAGTTGGTTTGCCGGTTAACCGATTTCATTCATACTGGTGGTTGCTTTTCAGTGTTCTCAAGGGCTATTGTCATTGGAGTATTGTAAGGCATGGCGCCATCACTAGCAGTAATGAATTTGACTGTCATGTAAGCAGAATGAGTCAACTTTTGTCTGTTCATGCTGTGCATAATTGATTTATGCGATCACTAATCTAAATAATTATACGTGTAATGTGAATATGTATATGAATGGTGGGGTGGGATTGAGCTGTACTTCTCGTATTAAGCCAGTGGGCGTTGTCTAGCTCTCCTGTTAAACAGGATTGAGCTGTACTGTTTGGATTGTCACATGAAACTGTGGATGGCGTCTTGTTCTCCTGAAAACCAATGCGAAATCACCCTGACTGACCCACAGGGGTATGTTATATAGCTGTGAACTATGAACTGAACAATGAATTTCTGATAATAGTAAATTTACTTTAAAATTATCTATAATATTAGCTATGGCTTGTAGAGCACATCTCACTTTATCCCACGGATTCCCGTCTCTAGCTATAAGGTCCTTTGAAGATTGAAGCTAACACGTCAAAAATCCCCCACAAAAAGGCCGTGCATGACCAGCCTCAAGCAGTTGTCCCTTGGGCACTGCGGTCACGCTCCCAGGTCGTTAAAACCAACATTGATACAACTTCCTTTTCAGATCCCTCAAAAAATACCCTTCCACGGTGTGGGCAGCCGGGAAGTGATATTCGCCCTCATACCCATAACAACACACGAGACCAAGTTGGAACTGAATTACAACTGAATGATTAAGAAGTAATCTCATGTTTACTATAATGTTCGATCTATGTGGTTCAATAATGGTTTCATATAGTTGATATGCCTTAAAATTGAACACTTGTTCTTGACTTTCAACTGAAATCAATCTATACTGAAGACTAACTTATGAAATAGTTTAGTGTTCTACTTCTCTACCATAATCTTGTCCAGTTTATTTTTCTGCTATACATTTTTTTATCGATGTCATACTTAACTTTAAGCTTTCTGGAATTTCAACAGTGAAATCCCACTCCACAACACCACTCAAAAAATGTTCCCCAACGTTGAGTACATAAACATGTTCTTTGTCATTGAGTTACCTTAAATGGAGCGGTGACTAAATACTTGATACACTCATATTTTAACCGTTATTAGATAACAAGTTCGAACCTGACTTTACTTAATTTGGTTTTGAAAATATCAACGACTGTCACAAAAAAAACTCGAGACTTAAACATGTTATTGTTCATCTAACCCTTAGTTCTCCTAATCGAATTCTATTAGTTACTATCCAGTGACTAGTCACTTTTAAATATACAAGTGTTCTATTTCATCTGTATCATGAAACTGGGTAACCCATGTTCTTATCTATCTGGGAGCATCATTTGCTTCAAGCTTACTAGTACGCCATACTGAAGAGGGCCGACTAACACGAAAGCTAGATTCAGCAGGATTTCTCTAAACATCTGCAACCATCTTACATCATTGCCAATTTGTTTTTGCGGATATCTTTCTGTAGGCATATTAGAAGCTGTGGTAGTAGAAGTATTTAGTGGTCAAAAATGCTGTGATTTACTCAACTACAAAGTTATATACAAAGTTATATATGTCGTCTCCAGTTTGAGTGTTTCGATATAACATGTACTATGACAAGATATTAAGTAGTTGGAGGTAGTCATCAAGAAACTCTCAACCTATGTTTCATGCTACTTGGTACTAGTCAGCAAAGTTTATCTACAATCGTTTTATATTTATTTACTTTATTTAAACACATAAACATTGGTAGAAGGAGGCACCGAATCTAAATGTACCACATAAATCATTCGACTTGTATATGGGCCGTAATACTGCCCGTATGCCCAAACCGAAGAAAGTGGTTTTCTTAAGGGGCCACGACCCGAGCATTTGACCTAAAGATCTCATCCACAAGGCAGTGGAGCACCGTGAGGAAATGCAGTCCCATGGTAGCCGGTCACCAACAACTAGTTCATACGCCATTTGTTCACTCAGGATACTGGAACCCATGTGCACCATTGGTTTGGAATCAGGGTTTTCCAACTGCCCTAGGTGAACTTTCCGTGTCCACCAATCCGGTTAAAGGGCCGGACATTCACTTTTCATCCTCTCAATTTCGTAAACAACACCCCCGCCGCTAGCAAGCAGTGAGAAGAGTGGTGCTCCTAATGGGATCTAAAAGCGCAACATAAGGTGAGTAGTCTAAGAAGTTACGTACGAACTACTCAGTCCACAACTGACTCCCTATGAGGTATCTTGTCAACTACCTAATAAACTACACTATCTATTTATTTGTGTACGTACAGTAGTGACTGACTTTAAATTAGGTTCTAAACGTTTTAGTAGGAAGTTTCAACTTATGTCAGTTAAAACATGTCTACAACTGAGATAGATATCCCATCAATGATGGAGTCCATGTAATGTCGTTGTTGTCTATTCAAATACCATAGTGGTAGAAATAGTAAGAGTATAAACAGTAATCCGAAAGTTTAGGGTTCGAAGATGTTATTCAAGGAGTATAATACAGTGAAATAAACTTGGAAAGAGAAAAAAGATAGAGACATGAAGAATTCAGAAGATTAGAATTAGGCAGAACATAAAGAGTGGTTGCACCTTCGTCATTGCAAACGATTTTGAGCCATGTCATTCAACGTCTCTAACCATCGATTGCTATCATCTCGCGAATCTCAACCAGGTTATCTAAACCTACCAACATGTCTCAGTCTAATTATCAGTGACTTCATGGATTTGTGCCACGTTTTGGTCTAGCCGCCCCCAGCTTTCTTCCAACCTACTCCTACACCATGTAATGTCGCAAAATGCTTTAAACAAAGAAAAAAGCAATTCAGTAGATTAGTAACTCTGTGTGTGTGTTAATAACAATGTATTTCGAATACAAACCGATATTTCTGTGATATATCAATGGGGCGTCAGTATTACTGTCAATGTTGATGACAATACTACACATTTGTAAAGTTATATAATGAACACTATCCTTCAAAATAAGTGATTAATGGTGCACTGACAAATCTTATGTCAAGTGACATTGTACCTACTAGTCCCAGAAAAGTTAAGCACGACAATAAATATGTCATATCAAGGTTTGACAGTAAGTTATATGAAAGAGTGTATTTGATCTTAGGTGTTTTCAAATCATTCCTCGAATATTTCGGGACCATCCAGTTAGATGGATAGAAAGTACTAGGTAAGTATGACATATGGATTGAAGAGGTAGTGAATCATTTTCGACTTATATGGTTAAGACATATTACATGTCCCTATCAGGAACCGCTATGATGATGTAGGAGTGTGTTGACAGAAAACAAGGGATCTCTAAACTAGAACATGGGAATCAATCCATGAAGACACTGAGTATTGAGCTAGGACGCAAAGGCCATCCAGTGCTTTCAGGTTTTCAATGGTGGTATAACATTCATCCATTAATGATCTCAATGAAAAAATTAACAATATCTACAACCCCACATTGATATATAGAGAGTAGCTTGAATGTACCTGGAAAGTGAGATGAAGTGAAATATTCGAATCTTTCCACATTTGATTAAGACCTTGTCCTATCGACCTGTCACTATTTATCTTTTTATTTTGATTACATCTTCATTTGATCTGATTCTTAACCCTATATTTATTCATAGCTTTCCAGTCGAATGTGCATACACAAATATCCATATGTATTGATGATCATGGTGAAATTCAGGACAAAGGATTGAATCAAAAGGAAGATACAATCAAAATAAAGAGACAAATGATAATAGGTTAAATATTAACAGTAATCAATCATAATCCAGGTCGATAGGACAAACTGTTATTCAGATGTGAAAAAAATTCGAATACTTCACTTCTGACCGAAGTTTATCCTGATGATATTAGCCAAAAGCATGATGAATGCTCTACAACTAAACCATTCAGCTCAGAGAACGAAACTTTATTTATTTATTTTAACATATAAATATTGGTACAAGGAAGCACCAGATACATATGCGCAACACAAATCTCATTTGATTTGTGTGAGGGCTGTGATACTCCTCAGGTGCCCAGAACGAAGCAGGTGGTTTTCTTAGGGGGCCACACCCAGAGCATTTGACCTAAAGGTCTGATCCACAAGACAGTGGAGCATCGTAATGAGATGCAGTTCCATGGTAGTCGGTGACCAACGATTGATTCATACGCCATTTGTCCCTCAGGGTACTAGAGCCAGCCCATGTGCACCATTGGTTTTTCAATCAGGATTTTCCAGCTCCTCTAGGTGGACTTTCCGTGTCCACCAATCCGGTCAAAGTGCCGGACATTCGCTTTTCGTCCTCTCAATTTCGTAAACAACACCCCCGCCGCGAGAAGGCGGTGAGTGGAAATTCCCTGGTAGAGGCTATATACGCGTGGCCATGTGAGAGCATTTGGAGAGGGAGAGCGGACTCTCCCCCCTCTCAGCTGTACCAGGGCGTTTTGGGGAGCAGAGAACGGAACTACATCAAAGTAATCTAAATGAACTACAAATCTTCTCCATCATCTCAATACAAACACATAAATTTCACTTACAGATGTAAATGTAATATAAAATGCAATCGTTGTAGTAAACAAGCATAATCCAATAGCAAGACCCAATAATGTAGAAACTAATAAACGATCCAAATATAATCCACATGTTTGTTTACTCAATTGATCACATAGAATAATATCAGAATCTTTTTTATGGGAGATAAACTTGTATAGTATATTTTTTTGTCCCATAATTGATCTTTCCGATTGGTGTCTTTGATAATGATTTGTATCACTGACGAATTCCGGTGTAGTAGATGTTGATAACAATGTCGGTGATGATGATGATGAGGAGGAGGATAATGAAATTTTCTTTTGTAATGAATTAACTGATAAGAAAAATTCATTAGAATCAACATACATATCTGGTATTTTATCAACACGATTACGTAATGGATTCCATTTAGAACTATTACGACATAGACGCCATGAAGCAGCAATTGTTTTTAATTGTAAACGAAGTAAACTATAAGAAAAGTTAATAAAGAGATTCATATGAGAAGAAAACAACATGAATACATATACATATACAGAATAAGTAAGCGGATAAATTAAACGATATTAAATTCCTGGTAACGGCAAGTGATTATATCTAGTAGTTAACTATATTGATATAGCGGGGACGAGATGTTAACCTTTGATACAGTCACCGAAGAGCATATACAAATAGTAACTTTTTTTGTTAAGATGCCAGTTCAGTGGTCTATAGGTTAAGTGCTCTGGCGCGAGACTGGGTTCGAATCTCGCCAAGCGAGGTCGTGGATGCGTACTGCCGCTGAGGAGTCTCACAATTGGACGAAACGGCCGTCCAGTGCTTCCAGGATTTCCCTAGTGGACTAGTTTCAATTCACTCACGCTTTCAACTATAAAAACACTAAATCTCCACAAAAACCCCTTCTGATAAAATATGAAGTAAATATGTTTGGGATCAATCTATATCCATATAATCTAGAAACCACTGAATCATTCATTTCTAAGAATCCGGTGAAGGTAGTCACAGAGAAGCTTACATATAATATTACACGCTTCAGATTAAAGGCTATTTAACTATATGCAGTGATATAACTTTGTAGTTGAGTAAATCACAGCATTTTTGACCACTAAATACTTCTACTACCACAGCTTCTAATATGCCTACAGAAAGATATCCGCAAAAACAAATTGGCAATGATGTAAGATGGTTGCAGATGTTTAGAGAAATCCTGCTGAATCTAGCTTTCGTGTTAGTCGGCCCTCTTCAGTATGGCGTACTAGTAAGCTTGAAGCAAATGATGCTCCCAGATAGATAAGAACATGGGTTACCCAGTTTCATGATACAGACGAAATAGAACGCTTGTATATTTAAAAGTGACTAGTCACTGGATAGTAACTAATAGAATTCGATTAGGAGAACTAAGGGTTAGATGAACAATAACATGTTTAAGTCTCGAGTTTTTTTTGTGACAGTCGTTGATATTTTCAAAACCAAATTAAGTAAAGTCAGGTTCAAACTTGTTATCTAATAACGGTTAAAATATGAGTGTATCAAGTATTTAGTCACCGCTCCATTTAAGGTAACTCAATGACAAAGAACATGTTTATGTACTCAACGTTGGGGAACATTTTTTGAGTGGTGTTGTGGAGTGGGATTTCACTGTTGAAATTCCAGAAAGCTTAAAGTTAAGTATGACATCGATAAAAAAATGTATAGCAGAAAAATAAACTGGACAAGATTATGGTAGAGAAGTAGAACACTAAACTATTTCATAAGTTAGTCATCAGTATAGATTGATTTCAGTTGAAAGTCAAGAACAAGTGTTCAATTTAAAGGCATATCAACTATATGAAACCATTATTGAACCACATAGATCGAACATTATAGTAAACATGAGATTACTTCTTAATCATTCAGCTGTAATTCAGTTCCATAGTACTATCAGTTATGTTTTTCAATACGTATATAGTCGGAACCCTAGTGGTGCGAGTTGATAAAATGACGTGAGAAGGGTCAGCCGTGGAGATAAGAGAGTTATTAGGAGGTGTAGGAAGGATTTGAATGTGACCAACTTGGTCTCGTGTGTTGTTATGGGTATGAGGGCGAATATCACTTCCCGGCTGCCCACACCGTGGAAGGGTATTTTTTGAGGGATCTGAAAAGGAAGTTGTATCAATGTTGGTCTTAACGACCTGGGAGCGTGACCGCAGTGCCCAAGGGACAACTGCTTGAGGCTGGTCATGCACGGCCTTTTTGTGGGGGATTTTTGACGTGTTAGCTTCAATCTTCAAAGGACCTTATAGCTAGAGACGGGAATCCGTGGGATAAAGTGAGATGTGCTCTACAAGCCATAGCTAATATTATAGATAATTTTAAAGTAAATTTACTATTATCAGAAATTCATTGTTCAGTTCATAGTTCACAGCTATATAACAAACCTCTGTGGGTCAGTCAGGGTAATTTTGCATTGGTTTTCAGGAGAACAAGACGCCATCCACAGTTTCATGTGACAACCCAAACAGTACAGCTCAATCCTGTTTAACAGGAGAGCTAGACAACGCCCACTGGCTTAATACGAGAAGTACAGCTCAATCCCACCCCACCATTCATATACATATTCACATTACACGTATAATTATTTAGATTAGTGATCGCATAAATCAATTATGCACAGCATGAACAGACAAAAGTTGACTCATTCTGCTTACATGACAGTCAAATTCATTACTGCTAGTGATGGCGACATGCCTTACAATACTCCAATGACAATAGCCCTTGAGAACACTGAAAAGCAACCACCAGTATGAATGAAATCGGTTAACCGGCAAACCAACTTTTCACATGAACAGTCAGCAAAACTTGCCAAAGTAATACCGAGCCATCCACAATGTCAATGGCGAATCTCCAATCTCACATAAAACCTTAACGTTTAACTAATGTTGTTATCTAACTAGTGACTGACTTTAAGAAAGTATTTCATAGAGTTCGAGTGAGAAGCAATGACCAGTGGAGTTCAACCAAGTCTGTTGTGAGATAGTAACTCATTGAAAACAATGATGGATGTGTTGCTCAATTTTATGATCTTGTTTTTCCACATGATTTATAATGATATAAATAGTAACCAAGAATGGTACATGTAAATAAACATGATTGTTTTTGTTTGTATTAGATAGATTTTGTTTATCAATATAAACAAAATCAATATTATACATCTATTAGATTACATTTTCATTGATTATAAAAACAAGCGAATATCTTATAAAACGTATGTTCAATTTTTTTATTTATTTAAACACATAAATATTGGTACAAGGAAGCACCAGATATATATGCGCCAAACAAATCTCATTTGATTTGTGTGAGGGTTGTGATACTGTCTAGTTGCCCAAACCGAAGCAGATGGTTCTCTTAGGGGACCACATCCAGAGCCTTTGACCTAAAAGTCTACTTCACAAGACAGTGGAGCATCGTGAAGAGATGCAGTTTCATGGTAGCCGATGACCAACGATTGATTCATACGCCATTTGTTCTGTCAGGATACTAGAGCCCATATGCCCTATTGGTTTGGAATCAGGGTTTTCCAGCTCCTCTAGGTGGACTCTCTGTGTCCACCAACCCGGTTAAAGCACCGGAAGTCTGATCAGTCCTATTGGGTTGGTGTCTGACGAAATCTCAGCACAGATTCAAAAAGCTCGTTTGGCTTTAGCCAACTTACCTCACCTATGGCAAAAGTGAGATAACCGTCTGTCAATTAAGGGACGAGTATACTGCGCATCAGTTCGCTCTGTTCTACTTTACGGCTGTGAAACATGGCCATTAAGAGTAGAAGATACTCGTAGGTTACTAGTATTTGACCACAGATGCCTTAGAAATATTGCTCGCATCTGCTGGAATAACCGGGTAAGTAATAATGAGGTTAGATGCAGGGTATTAGGGAATGATGGTAAATCAGTTGATGAGATGATGAATCTTCATAGACTGAGATGGTTGGGCCACGTGTTATGTATGCCTGAACAACGATTACCACAACGCGCAATGTTGACCAGTGTAGGGGATGGTTGGAAAAGAGTTAGGGGCGACCAAACCAAAACATGGCATCAGTGCTTGATGTCACTAACTTCTAGTTTGAGCCATGTTGGTAGATGCAGACTGCATGGTTGGGGTCCGCGTGACTATCGTAACCAATGGTTGGAAACTCTGGGTGACATGGCTCAGAATCTATCACAATGGCGTAGGTGTATACACTCTTTATCTTCCCTTAAACCTTCAGATTAAAATTGCTTCATATACGTCTTTCTTTCTGTACTATATTTTAATATACAACCTATCTTTTATATATTACCACCACTAAATTAACAACTATGAATCCAGTGTTTATCTTGTTGTGCTAACGAGGTATGGGAACTTGGACCGATGAATATATGTGCCTGGTCCTACGTTGTCGCTGACTAACTGACCGACTACTGCATCAGATCCTCATATTTTACACTCCTTAAACCTTAACCGATTTAAACTATAGTGTGACTGTCGGATAGTGTTGTTTTTTCTGTTTTCGTCGTCATCGTGAAAAATTCCTCTCATTCGAAACTGCATTTACTACACAGGTCAAGAGAAATTTTCAGTATAATTTACTGGAAACTAATCTCTGATATAGTACTCATTTCAGTTAGAGTAGGATTTAACAGTGCAACTTAATTGCAAAAAACTGAGTGCAGTGAATGTCAATAGGCAGTGGCTTTCGCCAAAGAGTAATAACAAAACTTAATTACATAATTATCACTTATACAATTTGTTTGTTCAAATCAAAGTCGAATGACAAGGTCCATTCACAGTAGGTATCATTACCAAGGTTTGACTTGATAATTTCAAATAAATTGAGAATCAGTTGAGGTTAGACATTACCATAATTGAATGCCGGCCAGCTCAGTGGTCTATCGGTTAAGTGCTCGCGCGCGAGACTGGTAGGTCCTGGGTTCGAATCTCGGGAGGTGAGGTCGTGGGTGAGCACTGCTAAGGAGTCCCATAATAGAACGAAACGGCCGTCCAGTGCTTCCAGGTTTTTCATGGTGGTCTAGCTTCAATTGACTCATGATTTAAACTATGAAAAATTGAGAATTGTGTAGATTAATATTAATATAATAATATACTTGTAATATCCCAATGAATAGAAAATGAGATTTTCTGACATTTCGTGAGTCGATGTAGGCTATCTCTTCAGAGAATAAATCAGTTTTGATATTACAAGTACATTATTTTATTTACATTCAATTATAGCTTGCACGTGACAACGATCATGGTACATACGACTGATAATATAGTGGAGCATTCAATCATCGATCAAATGTTTTAGGCTGGAAGTAATGGCGAATCCAAAAGTGCGAAAAACGTAATATATATACTGTAACCATATGACCTCATGAATGGCCTGGTATATTCGGAAGTAGTGAGATTAGGCTATCTCTCTCCCTGTGTGTGTCTTTGTAAACATTTCCATACGATAAATCCAGGTTCAAGGAATTCTCGGCCCACTTGTCAACAATCGATTTGTCCCAAGAGTTACGACTTTAATTAGATCTAAGATGATAGTCAGTTCACTTCAAAGATAATATGCACGTAGATTTGTTGTTTCACCTACTTTGAATACTTCAACTATACACGGTCTTTAAATTTCCAAAGGAACATGATGCCTAACGATTACCAATTTATGTCGAGTAATTAATAAATAATTTAAATTCACAGCCTACATTACTGATTACCTTTACCAGAATAACCCGAAAGTAGCTTGATAGCTGTTTTGTTTTAGTATAAGGGACCCCTCAGACACTGTTAACCACGACCCCTTGAGGATCGAATCCAGGGCCATTGGGTACACAGAAAGCGCTTAACCTACAGATCACTGACCTGGTACGCAATGATTCAAATGCCTGATTTCAATCAACTTGCTATAGTGAGCAACTATTTTTAATCCTATCTATGAGTAACTGTCATAATAGGTCCATTTATGGAGTTTTTTGAAGAGCACTTCAAAAACTAGAATAAATCCGCTATTCAGTACTTCTTGAATTTTATCAATTCATCGTAAAGAATAACTGTTTTTTTGAAAATCAACTTAAAAATAAAAGGAAATGTGGTAGCTAGTAGTGGAATCCAGAACGTGTGTTTCGTCCTATCTGGAACTTACCAGCTGGATTTACCTGCATCTCATAGTGTTAATGTTCAACTCCGGGATTCGAACCCAGTACTGTTCGTTTCAAATGCTACCAATAACTTGTGTATTAAGATGAACTCTACTATATTTTTATATTTTCTTTTTATTTATTTCATTTAAACACATAAATATTGGTACAAGGAAGCACCAGATAAATATGCGCCACACAAATCTCATTCGATTTGTGTGAGGGCTGTGATACTGCTCAGGTGCTCAAACCGAAGGAGGTGGCTTTCTTAGGGGGCCACACCCGTAGCCTTTGACCTAAAGATCTGATCCACAAGGTAGTGGAGCAAAGTCAGGAGATATATTCCCACGGTAGCCAGTGAGCAACGATTGATTCATACGCCATTTGTTCTGTCAGGATACTGGAGCCCATGTGCACCATTGGTTTGGAATTAGGGTTTTCCAACTCCCCTAGGTGGACTTCCCGTTTCCACCGACCCAGTTAAAGCGCTGGACATTCGCTTTTCGTCCTCTCAATTTGGTAAACAACAGTAATGCCACGAGAAGGCAGTGAGAAGGACTTCCTTGTTAGAGGCTATATACACGTGGCCATATGAGAGCATTTTGATAGGGAGGGTGGCTCCTCCCCACTCTCAGCCGTATCAGAGCATTTACGGGCAGAATGTAATCAACAATACAAAATGAAATTTAATCAATTACAACTTTTTTTGAATGTTTCATCTATATATTTCCCCTACACCCACCCACCGACCATTGTTTCGGAATCAAGGTTTTCCAACTCCCCTAGATAAACTTTCCATATCCACTAACGTGGTTAAAGCACCGGACGATAATTGATCACTTGAGATAAGATGGTGGTTGGAGGTGGTCAATAGGAAACCCTGAACCCGGGTTTCGTGTTACTTGGCACTCGTCAGCAAGATGTACCTGTAATCTTGAAGCAACTGGTGCTCCCTGACAGATTCAATCCCGTGTCACTCAGCTTCACAGTCAGAGACATTACCATTGAGCTATTCGGGCCGCGACCGACCTCCTGTTGAGTCACCTAGCCTAGTGACCACATTGTAACTTGATCGATAGTATTCAATCTGTACTAAGAAGGACTTGACACGCATGACATTAATCACCACCCAGTGATCAATTAATTGTGACAATTGATTAGTCTCTGGTACAGATTACCTTGATATTATTATTATTATTATTATATAACCAATATAAATAAAACAAGTTGAACTTACTGTGTAGCATAGATATAAAAACTGGTTAAATGTAATGTAATCAATTCAATAGTATCCAATAGTAAACATAATAATAAGCTAAACATTAAACGTATGATTAATGAAAAATACATTAGAAACAACTTGAATATAGATATAATATAATAGTAATAGTAATGGTAATGGTAATGATAGTAATAAGGGTAATACTGTTTATATTGATATATGGATATTGTTGACATGATATAAATAGTACTCATTAATAAACATATAATTGTTATCATATTGATTATATAATAATTATTATGATTATGATTATTGATTGAATGAATAGTTGCTATGGGGTTTAATTGATTTATTAAATATATTAATAATTGTATAATAAATGTTACATATGAACGCCATGCTAATAAATGATATAAAAAAAATTGTCCCATTAAATATGATAAATGTATATTGATTTTTAAACCAGCTGGTTTACCTTGTTCAAGCCATAGCAATAAACGGGTTAATTCACAAGTGAAATACTGAAAAAAAAAGTAAACAAAAGTAAAGTAAAAAGAAGATGATAATGAAAATAATAATCCATCTGTATAGTTGTGTGTAGCCTTTCATTATGAACTGTTGACTATAGAATTAGTAAAGATTACTGAATTAATGTGTTATTATATAATATACCCCTGTGGGTCAGGGTAATTTTTCTATTGGTTTTTAGGAGAACCAGATACCATCCACACCTTCATATGACAACCAATATAGTACAGTTCAATCCCGTTTAACAGGTGAGCTAGACACCACCGTCTGGCTTAACCCGCCTCACAAGAGAATCAGACAGTATATGGGCTTCAATGCTACAATATGAATAATACAACTCAATCCTGTGGTGGAATCACACAGGTATCAAGCATCCTGGTGGACCATTCGCACCAATCAAATACCTATTCACATTATATGTATAATTATTTAGATCAGTGATCGCATAAATCAATTATGCACAGCATGAACAGACAAAAGTTGACTCATTCTGCTTACATGACAGTCAAACTCATTACTGCTAGTGATGGCGACATGCCTTACAATACTCCAATGACAATAGCCCTTGAGAACACTGAAAAGCAACCACCAGTATGAATGAAATCGGTTAACCGGCAAACCAACTTTTCACATGAACAGTCAGCAAAACTTGCCAAAGTAATGCCGAGCCATCCACAATGTCAATGGCGAACCTCTACTTTCACATAAGACCTTCAACTCTACATGGCAATATAACTTAAACTGCATACAACACATATGTATGGAAATAAGAGAAACAGCCATGCCTGAAGTGTTAGAGCATGAAGAACGCCTAAAACTCGTTGTCTGGTGTCTGAATACTAATACAAAACCACAAAGATCATTTTTATCGCATTTGCGAAATTTTCACTTTTCCGACTTTCCAGACCCTGAGTTAGGGGTAGTATCCTTGAATCAGTGTGTAGACTTTCAAAAGTTGAATTCACAAGTTAATCTAAGCTAGACTACGATTAAAAACCTGGAAGCACTGGATAACTGTTTTCTCCTAGTACGCGAATCTTTAGCAGTGAGCACCCATGGTCCCATAAGCGAAACTCGAACCCAGAACCTTCGGTCTTGTACGCGAGACTTAATTAGCGGTTTGGAGGAAATTTGAGTTTCAAACTGACTTATATGACCTTATTCTTGTGTTAAACCAATAAGACATCAAAAAAAACAATAGCAGCCTTGTGTCGAATTCTAAATACTTATTGGTTCTTGTCGCCTAGCCCTGCCCGTTGTATTTAGAAAGTAATCTCAGCCTCTGCTGTATGAACCATATATTTCAAACCTATACAGTTTATATACAAGCAAGTCATATCATAAAATAAAAAATAGCAATTATACGAGATCAAGCCAAAAGGTGTCTGTGATTGTGACTGTTACTTCTAGATTGAGAATAAGTCAAGAATAGTGAACCGTATAATAATAGCCAATAGATCAATTGAGAGCTTATTATATATATAATAACAGTCTATAAATAGTTACCGTGAGTTACCTATAGTTTAATCTTCTTCGCATATAACACAAACCGTTAGGGTTGTATGTTTAAATCATTTTCATATGAGGATATGAATAATAAAACTAATAGCCAAACCGAAGGATTTGAATAATATTTGATTGAATTTTCACCGATCACTAAGCTGAGAATCAGTCACAATGGAACAAATGTTCTCTAAAATCTAGGATTCCACTATTCCTTTATACATACTTTACTATCACCTCTTCTCGAACTAGATCATTACTGTTTAATCTTTCTTATTATAAGATAGTGGTTGGAAGTGGTCAACAGGATACCCTGGACCCGGATTTCGTGCTACTTGGCACTCGTACGCAAGGTATACCTGTAATCTTGAGGGAACTGGTGCTCCCTGACGGATTCGATCTCGTGTCACTCAGATTCACAGTTAGAGACGTCACCAATGAGCTATTCGCGCCGCGACCGACCTCCTGTAGGACAGATGTAATCACGATTGGTTGATCACTGGGTGGTGTTCAATGTCATGCGTGTCAAGTTGGGACACTAACTTCGTTATTATAATTGGTACAACAATTATTTCAGCTCCCTTACTACTAATTGTCTTGATCTTATTGTATCGTTCTTAGACGAAATAACAAGTTGGGTTATTGTGAATTTGTGCCAGACCCTACGTTCATGATGATGACTGACAATTAGAAATAAAATATTATTGTTGTATTATGCAGTAACAATCGAGTCATAATCATGTATCTAAAACACATATCTAACCAATCATCTGATTTATAAACATAATAAGTTTAAAAGAACTCAGTAGGTCAGTTAGTTAATTAAATTGACTTACTCTCCAGGTACTTAGATATGAACTATACTCTAAATGTCAAAGAACTAATGATATTATTACTCGATTGCATGAACCAAAGTAGGTGTAGTGGGGTTCGAACTTGGGAATTTTTGGCTGGAAGTCGAAAAGCTTAACCGCTAAGCCACAGCTTCAGTTATAAATCATCAGGTCGCAAGTTCGAATTCCATTATCCGTACTCGGATTTGCTCAGTCAAGTACAAACTACTAGATAACTTATAACTTGTATAATGAATCTGTGAGCTAGACGAATAGTGTGTAACTCCGACATTTAATGACAATGAGACTTCTTCATATCATTTTCTTTCCTGAACACACATAGACTCGAGACTGTTTAAAAGATTTATTAATAGAGACTGTAAAGACAATGACAAACTGTTGGTACTCATTATCAATACTTCTTGATGTTAGCTTCGGGTTTTGATTAATAAGGTTGCTCAGTAAAGATGTTTGAATACCAGAGAATTTTCGCAAATGTGAGCTACAAAATGAGAAGCAACAACTTAAACTGATCCTTCACCAGCGACTTTAAAATCCGAATTATTCACATATGAGATTCAAAATAATAGATCCCCTCAGGAAATTGTCAGTTTCGGCCGTTACATCCTTTCGAACATCAGTACTGGGTATTTAATAATTAAGAATTGTTACCAAACTACAGACTTAGTGATTGGACAGTGTCATCAAAAGAGTCTGGTAGCACAGGACCGTGTTACATCTTAGTGTGGAATCAATAGTGAAAAATTCTAACTTCAATGAACCCATCAAACTTGCAAACCATCAGAACACAACATAGTGATCTAGAGGTTGAGCATTTGTGAGCGAGACCAAGGATTTCAAATTCAATTCCCCAACACAGTGTCATAAATGTGCACTCCGAAGGAGTCTCATACTAGGACAAAATCGGCCATTCAGTGCTTCCAGCTTTTAAATAGTTGTGTAATTTAGATCACTTCGTGATTCCAATAGAATTCAACAATCTCCACAATTAGAAGGGGGTTTTGCGGAGATTTTAGTAATTTTTTTAGATAGTTGAGATCACTAGTCGATTGAAGCTAAACCATCACGGAAAACCTGGAAGCACTGGACGGCCGTTTCGTTCTATTGCGAGACTCCTCAGCAGTGCACATCCACGATCACGCCTCGCAAGATTCGAACCCAGGACTTATCAGTCTCGCGCGCTGTTATTCAATGGAAATAAAACATATACTTGTTCTATTCAAAATACACTCACTTCAATATAACGATACAGTATATTCATTTGACAGTAGTTAGTTGATGGTGACAGATAATTTACTAGCTCTTTTGTAGAATTATACAGTATCCAAGGTGATGATGATGTTAAATTTTTGAACGATAATGTCAATGTATAATTTTCTTCATTTTTATCTAAATAAAATAAGCCTAATGTAGGAATAATTTTACAATTTAAGTCATTTGGTAACCAACTACTAATAACCATATTAGTAGTAGTAGTAGTAACAGTATTATAATTTGATTGAATAGGACTACATGAAAACAAATGAGATAGTTTATTCGTATTAGGTGTACAGCAATCAGAATTATAATGATTAACCATATGATGATGATGATGTTGATGACGATGTGGTACTGTCATGAAACATAACATTAAAATTAATAATTGTACAGCACAAAATAGAATTAAACTAGGATCTGGTATAAAAGTTGACAATGATAACATATTCGAATGGTGAATATGTAGCATAGAAGAATGATCGGTGGTAATGATGTTACTACTATTATCAGTAGTAGTAGTAGTGTTAGTAGTAGTAGTAGTACTGGACAACTTATTTAGACAATTTGTACAGAATATAGATGATTTCTTTGATGTATCAAATTGGTATTTAATGAGTAAAAGTGTATAACTCATTTCAATTGTTTTGTGAAACAACTTGGTGAAAATCTGTTTTATAATCTCAATGAAATGGGAATGTTGTCGGGCAGATCTAAGGAGAGAGAGAAAAAAAAAGTATATTGCACTGAATGAACTAATTATCAGAGCTAAGATAGTCAGTCAGTCAGTCACAACGTAGAACTTCGTATGTACGCACATCAGTTCCAGTTGCCATACCACATTAACACAGAGATACAGTTGTCGATTCAAATCCCATAGTGGTAGAAGTAGTAAGAGTATAAGCATTATGTGAAAGATTAGGGTTTGGAGATGTTATTCAAGGAGTATAATACAGTGAGACAAATTTCGAAAGAGAAAACGGAAAGGGACATGAAGAATTCAGAAGATTAGAATTTGGTAGAACACAAAGAGTGGATGCACCTACGCCATTACAAACGATTTTGAGCCATGTCATTCAAAGTCTCTAACCATCGGTTGCTATCATCTCGCGGATTCCAACCAGATAGCCTACACCTACCAACATGGCTCAGTCCACTTATCAGTGACTTTATGGATTTGTGCCACGTTTTGGTCTGGCCGCCCCTAGCTTTCTTCCAATCTACTCCTATTCCATAAAACATTGCACGTCGGGGCAGTCGGTGGTTGAGCATACGTAACAGTTGGTTGATTTTAAAGTAACATTCTTAATAACTGGACAAACATTGTAGAAGCTGGAGCTATTTGGAGACAGTTATCAAGTTATTATTATATATTATTTTAATGTATATCTATTAAGTTTATGTTGGGGATGTTAAATCTCCAGAACTAACTTGGTAAATGACTTATTTTTGCAATTTTATTTTAAAAATTTGAATTTCCTTGCTTTCGCGTCAAAAGTGCTCCTTTCACCTTCGAGTTGTATTTCCCACTTAGAAATATCTTTAACGCTATTGGTCCGTTGTATCTTTTTAGTATGCTATTTTGTAACGCTTCTTCTCAAGGACAACTTTATACTATATATAGACGTTTGCTTTCTTCCTATTGTGATTGCTTGTATTTCGGCTGCTTACGGAAATATTTTCCCCTACTTCGTCTTGGACTTCTCACTCTAGTTAGCGGGATTTGAGACTGTTATATCCCCTGGCGAATTATGAATCATAAATCTGAGGTCTATTTATGGACAAATACAATATGCCTATTCCCTATTGGATAGTTGTTAAATAAGTGACCTAATCGTTTCCGTGTTCCTCTTATCATAACCTTTATTTTGACCTTGGAACTATTATTATTGATTACTTTCCCCCTAGCTACAGCCACATTGGCCAATTACTGTACAAATGTTATTTTTCTATTTTTGATATATGTGGTCTGTTTGGTTAGTATATATAACCCAGTATGCTTGTGAATAATGATTCATATTGCTGAGGCTGTTATTTGTGTTTTGGACTCAACGGCTGGGCTAGGCAGATAGCAGGGCCGATACGCAATCAAGACTGCTCGTACAATTTCAAGTATCATTTGCCTCCGATCAATAAATTCATTCCTCTCCAATTGCACGTCCATATTATTACAAATTCAGACGTCATAACAGAGACAACAGATTAGAATAGCCCATTGTGTCACTGTGTCATTGATCTTCGTTTGTTTTACGGAGAAATCGTAATTAGCATCAAGTATATCGGTTTAATCCATTCACTGTTATTATACTACTTACTATAGCTACTTAATTGTCAATTCACAGCTTGCCTTATTCACAGACACTTTTCACTTGTTTATACATAGTTCTTATTTTTTTAATTTATGGCGTAATGCGCTCCAGCATGTTCGTATGTAAATCCAAGTCTATTAGAATCATAAAAATGATAGAAACTGGTTATTGGCTTTTCGAACTCAAGGAAGGGCGTAGAGAAAGGTGAGAGGATATTAGACTGATAGGAGCTTGAGTTGGCCCAAGATCGACGGTGTTGGTCAAACGTATAGTGAATCAATTTTGGAACAACAGACCATAGAAGAAATGGTAGACGATGAATAGACAAAATTAGAATTAGAATTTTGATTGGTCACTTTCAAACGTTATATTGGTCAGCATCTTCTATGCATAATACAATTCAGAAAGCGATGACAGATGTCATTTATCTTATTAGTATAGTGAATGAAAACTCAGATGGAGAAAACCAATTTATTGTTTAATGCACAATCACACAGCGTACTTCACCTTAGGAGCAAAGCAAGATATTCGTAAAATCTATTTCCATTTAATGATTAAGAAGCTTGAAACTGATAAACACATGGAAACTAAAATACAGAGACCATAATTTACACATTGTTGAAGGTAACTTTAAAGTTATTGATATTTCAAAGCACATAGCACTAACTGCATGAAGATTCATCCTTTCAGGGGGAAACATCACTCTTCAACTCACTTCCAGATCATTATTCCTAACTTCTAACAAGCATTCCCAACATTAAATCATAATGTAGACTGTAGATCATAATCCTGACACACCAACTCCTAATTCTAATTACCGATTCCAAAGAAAACTCCACATTTCGGACTCTAACTCTAATCTGTTTTGAGTTTTTTAGGAAACAAAATTATACATTTATATCACATGCAATCTGGTTTAACGCGGCTTTAATTTCTGACGATCATTTTAAGAGTCTCTGTTAATCGCCAGTAAGTTCTGCTTTAAACTAGGGTGAAGAGCTGTTTTCAATAACTTCACCAAGCTCTACAGTTATTAATCCGTATAACAACAGACAAAATATTCAGATTGAATTAATCCTTGTTACAGATTGAAAATGGCAAATTTCATGTCGACTACGTCTTAAATACTACAAATTACTAACAAAATAAAATAGCTTCATTAGTTATATGAAAGTCATAAATGAAGGGTAAGGAAAAATGATATGGCTTAAGGTGACTGCTAAGTCCTAAACAATGTGTCGAAATAGTATGACAAGACATGCTGATACAAAAACAGGAGTTCTAGTAAGAAGCCATGACCAATGGAGTCCAATCCGTGTCGGGTGTGAAACAGTTATCCACCGCAGGTAATTGATGAACGGTTGCGCAAGATAAGCCCCCAAATGAACTGGTACGGCCGAGAGTGGGGAGAGTCTACTCTCCCTCTCGAAATGCTCTCACATGGCCAGCGAATATATAGCCTCTGCCAGGGAAGTCCTACTCACTGCCTTATCGTGGCGGGGTTGTTGTTCACAAAAGTGAGAAGACGAAAAGCGAATATCCGGCGCTTTAACCGGGTTGATGGACACGGAGGGTCCACCTAGGGGAGTTGGAAAACCCTGATTCCAAACCAATGGTGCAAATGGGCTCCAGTATCCTGAGGGAACGAACCTGTCATTGGTCAACGGCTACCATGGGATTGCATCTCCTCACGATGCTCCACTGCCTTGTGGATCAGACCTTTTGGTCAAAGGCTCGGTGTGTGGCCCCCTAAGAAAACCACCTGCTTCGGTTTGGGCACCCGGTCAGTATCACAGCCCACACACACAAATAGTGTGGCGCATATGTACCTGGTGCCCTTTTGTACCAATATATGTGTTTAAATAAATAAATAAAAATAATGCTCAAGATCATAGATTGATTGTAGTTAGACATTACCACAGTTAGATGCCAGTTCAATGGTCTAGAGGTTAAGCGTCTGCGCATGAGACCGAAAGTCTTAGATTTACTTCCTGTATGCAGAATCGTGGATGCGCACTGCCGAGGAGTCAAATACTAGAACGAAATGGCCGTCTAGTGCTTACAGATTTCCAATGGTGGTCTAACTCAGATCGATTCATGATTTCAACTGTGAAAGATAGGAATTGTTGTGTTGTAGTGGTTGAAAAAATAATCATAATAACATTAAGGATCATAATTAATGAGGATGTCATGCGAAATAAGAAAGTTGAATGTACAAGTGAGAATCAGATAAATGTCTTGCAGAGGAGGCCAAATCATAACGAAGAAGGAAGGAGAACAATTAGAACTAAGAATGAAACGACCCAGTTGTGGGGAAGGTAAACAACAGGGTTGAATTAATCTTTTCCATTTACATCAGGTAAGTTTATTTGAATTGATGTTAATTTATTCCCCTAATATAAAGTACGAGTAATCTTGTGAGTTCTGGTATATTACTAGGAACTTGACACATAACTGAGAAGGCACCTTCGATTTTAGTGTTATGTCCATAGTCGATTAAAGACAAGGGTAGAATTTTCAGTTTCAGAAACAAACTGATCTTAGCTAAACTTCTATTGAAAACCTGGAAGTTTTCCATAGCCATTTCATCATACTGTGAAACTCCTAAGTAGTACCAACCCACGATTCCACTAACAGGAATCGATTTAAAAACCTTCGGCCTTGGGCACCAACGCTTAACCTCCAGACCACTGAGCTTGCATTGAACGATATTGGTGTCTAATTTCAAACAAAACACGATATTACGCGACATTCTTCAACTCCCTGCAATGGATAACTATCTCGCACCTAACATGGTTGAAATCCACTAGTCACGACTTTTAACGAGAACATCAAGAGCGAGATCGATAGTCCAGGGTTCGATTTTGACTGATTCAGATTGAATTTTGTAGAAACAACTATATGTATATATACATAAGGATATGAAATGTACTTACTTCTTTTCATAATTACATTGATTATAACAAGGTATAGTATAATCTGGTGTAAATTGATTAGACCATAGAATAAGTGTACATAATGATTGACCAATTTCATATTTCATCATTGAATATAACCAACTATTTGAATCATCAAATAGTTGGTTATCATAACAACAAGTGTTCTTCTGGGAAGAAAATCGTCTAGAATATTTCATGAGTATACCATGTTTCAATAATGATGGTAATTTGTTCATATCAAGACTAATCCATATATATGATTCATTAGTTAACAAAGGATAATATGTTTTAATGTATGAACTATAATGAGAGAAAAAAGGAAATCGTAAAAACGGATAAGAATGAATTTATTATTAATCAATAAAATGATCTTGTGTAAATTTTTTAAAACTCAGGGGGATACAATTAACTCGTCTCAACAAATAGCTTGGCACCCCCAAATGCCCAGGTATTGCTGAGAGTGGGGAGAGTCCGCTCTCCCTCTCAAAATGCTCTCACATGGCCAAGCGTATATAGCCTCTGACACGGAAGTCCTATTCACCGACTTCTCGTGCCATTACTGTTGTTTACGAAATTGATAGAATGAAAAGCGAATGTCCGACGCTTTAACCGGATTGGTGGACACGGCGAGTTCACCTACGGGAGTTGGAAAACTCTCATTCCAAACTAATGGTGTACATGGGCTCCAGTATCCTGAGAGAACAAATGGCGTATGAATCAATCGTTGGTCACCGGCTACCATGGGACTGCATCTCCTCACGATGCTCCACTGATTTGTGGATCAGACCCTTAGGTCAAAGGCTCGGGGTGTGGCCCCATAAGGAAACCACCTGGGCAGTATCACAGCCTTCACACAAATCAAGTGAGATTTGTGTGGCGCATATATATGTGGTACCCCCTTGTACCAATATTTGTGTTTAAATAAATAAATAATAAATAGCCTGGCAAAATCAGTCGAATAGTATATAAGCTGAAATAATTGTATTACTAATGAAAATGAAAAGGATTAAATGTGGAGAAGAAAGAATAAAATAGTATATATGTAAAAAATATAGGAACTCAGTTATTGGAGGAAGGTAAATGGTATATAGATTTATGACATTATGATCAATTCTGAACCAATATTAACCAATGCCTTCCATTTTATTTACTATTTACTTCAACACAAATTTTGGGACAAAGGAGACACCAAAATATATATGTGCAACACAATAAAAATAAGGTTGTGAAGAGGTAGAGTAAGAAAAATAACGGAAGTAGTAGGATAAATACAACCAGAGAGAATTCTTTCACTTAAAGAAGTCACTCTCACTTTTATGAAGTAAAAAGACAGAACTGCCACTGGCTCCTATTCTAAGATATGTCTGATAATATCTCAAACCGGTGTTGCGCTATCTTTTGAACTCTAACCATGGAGTCGTAGAGAACCAACAGATACCAGTCCTGTACAGCTTTCTTTCATACCACGACACCATATCATACACTGACCACCTCTCCGCTTTTCCCAACCAGTTTTGGAGTCAGCAAATAGCGGACAATGTGGGATTCACTAGGACGACATGTCCAAGTCACCTAAGTCAGTGACACTAATTGAATCATCATCTATGTGTCCGAACACGCGTTGCCGAACTTATGTGTCACTAACATGGTGGTGCCATTAGACGTTAGCAATCCTTCGGAGAGAACGATTATCAAACACAAAGAGTAGTCTAACATTTTCAACTCGGAGAGGTCAGGTTTCACAATCATGGAGCAAAACTGCTCTCATCGACGCATAATAGGTCCGACCTTCTACACTAGGACTAACATCACAAAGGTTCAAAAGATGACTGACATTGGCATAAGCGTGTCTGGTTTTCACTGTACATGAACTTACCTCATCACTCACGCCACCACCAGCACTTATGCAGCTACCCAGATACACGAAACTCTGGACTACTTTTATCTTCTCACTACTCAGGGTGAGTGCAGGATCAGAGGACCTGCCAGTCTTGTAAAGGCATTTCGCACTTCAAAGGTGCAAAGCACATACTGCAGTTGGCAATATTTCTTTGGTTATCTTACTCTGTAAATGTAATTGCATCAGAATTCATGCATCTCAAATTACATTCCAATGTCTTACTATGTATTATTTTACATATGTGGTGGAAAAGAACTATAAAGGTTGACTGATACAAAAGTACGTTCAAATGAGGACAAATGATAATTATTCCCTGTAGTGATAGCAACCAAGTTTTTTTATTATTTAAAAAGCCTCTTAGAAATTAAAGTGTTAACTTACCGATCAAATTTATACTTTTTAAGACTTTGAGCACAAACATGTAGATTTTCATCAGATTGGAATTTCACACCTAAACCAGAGAAAGGTAAGAGAACTTCGTTGAATTACAAACATTTATTAAGGAATAACAGCCACTGTTTCAAATCTTTATTATTTTATTTATTTAAACACATATATATTGGTACAAAAGGGCACCAGGTACATATGCGCCACACTATTTGTGTGTGTGGGTTGTGATACTGACCGGGTGCCCAAACCGAAGCAGGTGGTTTTCTTAGGGGGCCACACACCGAGCCTTTGACCAAAAGGTCTGATCCACAAGGCAGTGCAGCATCGTGAGGAGAAGCAGTCCCATGGTAGCCGTTGACCAATGACAGGTTCGTTCCCTCAGGATACTGGAGCCCGTGTGCACCATCGGTTTGGAATCAGGGTTTTCCAACTCCCCTAGGTGGACCCTCCGTGTCCACCAACCCGGTTAAAGCGCCGGATATTCGCTTTTCGTCCTCTCACTTTTGTGAACAACACCCCCGCCACGAGAAGGCAGTGAGTAGGACTTCCCTGGCAGAGGCTATATATTCGCTGGCCATGTGAGAGCATTTCGAGAGGGAGAGTAGACTCTCCCCACTCTCGGCCGTACCAGGACATTTGGGGGCAAAATATGGAACGCTTCACGATTTTGCGTGTCATCCTTGCGCAGGGGCCATGCTAATCTTCTCTGTATCGTTCCAATTTTAGTATATGTCCTATTAGGACTAACCAATCATGGTTGAAACAATGACTTCAATGACTTACGTCGCTTAACTAAAAATATAGTACTGACTATTGATCCAAATCTGATTAATTTCAATTATAACAGAATAATAAAGTATTTTGAGTATTTTGAACTGCCTAGATAGACGATATGTGATTGTAGACACGTAGTGACTAATAAAAAGCATAAAGATAAAGCTTTCTGGTGATCAACTGTATCTGTAATACACTAATCAAATTAGTCAGCAAAAGCCATGTTTAAGAAAAGTTCATGTGGCTAACTTCTTGAAATACAACAAATACATTTTGTATTGTTTGTTTGAATCTTCCTATTGATGTTTATGACTTTCTCGGAGTAAACATCAACTTTAGGATGCAGGTACATCCATTTGACGAGTCCCAAATGGGACAAAATGCGCGTCCTGGATTCCACTGCTTATAATACAAAAAAACAGTAGGGATATTTCAATAGATATGAGTTGGATCATGTAAGCAATGTTGAGTAAGAAATTTTTTTAAAAAAACGTAAATTCTCGTCAGCTTTAAAATTTCATCTCAAATTTTATGTGAATAATGTTATTTCAGTCATAAATAGGGACAGTGAATGAACATACGAAACAACACCAAGAAAAATCATGAGGAGAGCTTAATTTCGAAAAGATTTGACATGAGCAAGGATCAAGAGGAGTTTCCATATTTCATATCATTACAGTGAGAAAAGGAATATGTTCAGACAAAAATCAAAGATAAAAACAATATTAGGATGGATGATAGTAACTAAACAAGAAGCATGCCTTTAAAATACAGAAGTTTAGGTACTCATATTCATATAAATTTTAAGAAAAATGTGAAGATTGAATATATCGTTGCAGCTACAATCGATTCTCAATCACATTAAATAAGGTATGTAAACATGAGTCGTGATTGTCTCACAAACCCCAACAAAGTTGTGAATACTTCCGGAATGCATTAATCTAATAATTAATCACCTCACTGACTAATGTCGTGTACTATTCTGATCACAACTAGTTTTCCAGTTTTCTCTTACACCAGTTATTATTGCACTCCAAGGAAAGTTGTGGCTAAACTTAAAAAGTTAATGACTTGAAAACACAATGGGACTGGAGAACTTAAAAACTAATACAAAATTATTATCCAGTTTACTAAGGTCCTAGAAAACTATCCACTTAGTACATACTTTAACGCTAAGAATCAAGTTAACTAGTTCTATCAATAGATAAATTAACTTGTATATTATATTCGTCAAACAATCTCAATCGGGATACCGTTGAAAAGGAAAAAGAATATGATAGCTGTTTTCCTTCAAAAATAGGGATTAATTAATCCATTAAGTACTTGGATGTGAGGGACACTCCAAGTGAGAGAACTAATGATACTACACCTGCTTCGGTTTGGGCACCCGAGCAGTATCACAGCCCTCACACAAATCAAATGAGATTTGTGTGGTGCATATGTATCTGGTGCCCCTTTGCACCAATATTTATGTGTTTAAATAAATGAATAAAATAATGATACTACACACATGCCAAACAGAAATAGTTATTAGGACGAGGCTCTGCAGAAGTATGCACTCGCGATCCCACTATGGGTCACTCCCAGGACCTTGATGCCTCGTCCCGAACACTCAACTATCAGGGTAGCTGAGAAAGCATCTAACTTTCCAGTGGTACCCTGAATGAGACCGATTCGTAGTGAATATTACCCATAAATAAAATCCATCTCCACAAAATCTGTTAAATTAAAAGAAAGCGACTTACAACAATAAGGACATACTTCATTTTTCTCACTGAATGAATCGTAAAAGCCCAAAATCAGTACAACTTCAACGTCGTTTGATCGACTGTCATATATTTCAGGTATTTTATAACCGAGTGAGTAAAAATCGGTGGTATTTGAAAATTTTGATATTTGATTTCTTGGCAGAGTGAGTTCAGTTAATTCAGAAGGAATAAACATAAAAGTTTTTCGCTTTGTTTTATCCATACATCTGCTGGTAATTCAAAAGGCAATTGTAAAAATGTTGAACGGGTAATGATGAATTTTAAAATATAAACATAAACGTCTTGGGATCAGTTGGAAATTCACGTCGAACTTCAGTGGTTTTAAGATAATAGTTTTAATAGGTTTGGTTGACAAGTCTTGTGATAAAAAAGATCCTCGTAAATTGTTTTGTCCGAATTCAAGAATTCGTGAGTAGGATGAGCTGATATTCTTTCGTGTATGAGGGTCAGGAAATTTTAGACTCACAATTAACCTCTTTAACCTGTATTTATCAATTCACATTATTTCTTTAAACAGAAGTATACTAGTTACTCGGTGAGAACTTTGTCTAGGAATATGAAGAGACATTAGGCAGCACGGTTAATGAACGATACCAGTGGTTTCATAAGAGACCGATTCAATAGAAATTGGTTAATCGTCATGTACAAGATGAACAGAAACCTATCAAGAGCAGCATTGTCGTTTATGAAGTTTGATTCCACGTATGTATTTCGTTCGCTCTTTTAACACTATAAACCAGTCTTAGCTACCTTATTAAGCTTTCGATCAAAACAGATCTACACGTTTTTGCTATCTCGTTCTCTAATTAAATCTCATTTTCAAACTTATCGTGTTGTGAGACCGAAATCCATAATTATTCTTTACCTAATTTGTATGGCGTTTCATTTCAGCTTGGATAGAACTTGACCAAATAGCATTTAGGCATTATAGCTGACGTAGTGATACTATCTTTTATAAATGACCTTTGATCGATGCCACTGACCTTGAGAACGTCCATAAATTATGACCTCACCGGTTATCCCTCTCTAACATTTCTTAAAAGCATTTAAATATGGATTTATAAAAATCCCCCTAAATCAATCAAATCTATCTCCGAGGTACGTTTCAGTTAAATTTATCTATGACGGCAGGTAAAAGAAACAGGACATTTCTGTAAAGACTATATGGATCGCAGGAAGGCCATTTGCAGATACGTTTAGAAGGTGGAATATTTTCCCAGTAACTCAGCCCTGAATAAAAACTGCTCGAAATCAAAGTGCTAATATGTAGTTTTTTGTGTCTAACCAGGTGCTTGAAGTATTAGGTAAGAGTGAAGACCAGTGAGGAAAGATCGAAAAGAATAGAGCAAGGGGAAAAGTGAGCCAACTTCCAACTTAGTGTATAGGTTACGCCTACATGTTGTGATATGAGATAGATACGGATAGTAAATAATATAATATTAAAATAAATCGACAACTTACTGACAAAATACAAAATTTCGAATTCGTCACGAACCTTGAACTTAAATTCAGCACCTACTTCTTGAGCCTTCAGATGACTTCAAAAAAGCGCAGGGGTCAGTTCCAGTTTCACTTTGGAAAAGCAGAAGGTTGGGTGTATATGTTAGTCCTAACAATGGTAGTCTCTCAGTTTATTCAAATTTTTTTGAGTCGACAGATGAACCTTCAATCACGTAATGAGGTAATGAATTCCATTCGTCTATGATTAAATGAGAAAGTTGATAGTCAGTTGACAGGTAATTTGTTCTAGGTTCATAAACTTTTCAATAGTGTTTTCGTAGATTCTCTGTTCTAGGATACAAGTGAGGGCATATCGGTTACAAATTTAGCAATAACTAATTTAAAAACTGTAATCAAGTTGTCTCTATTATTTTATATGACACAGGAAACAGATTTAGTTTGGCCAGTCGAGCATCACACGAGAGCTTAGTTTCTGTTCTCTAAAGCCTTTTGAAGACTCACTGTCTCGGTTTACGTAGGTGGTAGCTGCTTGTTAAGGACGCAAAATACCATGCAGTGTCGGTTACTATGTTAAGCCCATATACTCTTATTGTAGATACTAAACAGGCCAATTCATCCATTCTTCTTAGATCACGCCTAAACCTTGTTAATTATTCGCTTATTAACCTTGACTGTTTTTATATGCGAGTATGTGTGTACATCTTATCCTACTCATCACATGTCTGTAGCTTTTTTGTGTGACTATAAATATTGATTAACGTTTGATAAAATGGAGTTGGCTGACACACCTCCACCGCGCGTCATTTTGCTTCGCTCTCTTCTATTAGCTTCATCCCTCTCATTTCCTGTCCAGATCAGTAAGTGCATAAAATATACGCATTCATAATTCATTCCGTTGTACACTAAAATGGATTAAGTAGATAATAATATACGAGAATAGTCAGTGTGTATACTTCGACAGCAATCAATCCATGAAGATTATTTATCCGATCTAACTGAAGTCAGATCCCGGGCCACAAAAACTGTATACAAAATCAAAAAAGTCTTAGCGTCAACATGGCCAAATGATCAACTTATTGATCATGTGGTTCTAAGACGTTTGTCAGCTATCTCACGACAGGGTGCAATAGGTTTTGAGTCTCGACTAATGATGGCTCCTAAATCATTGTGTTCCATGGTGAAAAATGTACAACACAATGCACTTGGAAGCTTTTATCGGCAACTGCCAAATTTTAGAGCAATCAGATAATTTCTCTAGGTCCTTTAGTGGCTCCAAACTATCAACTTCACTTTCCATCGCTCTTCATATCCTGACATCATCAGTATGTAACAAAGCCGATGATGATTGGAGACTAACAGGGTTATTTACGTACATGAGAGACAACACTGACCCCAAACTATACCCTGAGACATTCTGATATGCAGTTCTCCAGCTAGACAACATTGGGTTCCCCCATACTCTTTGTTGACGCCAAAATAAGAAGTCTTTGATCCACATTAATAAATTGCCTCCAGTTTCGATACTACCTACTAACAGTTGGTTGTGAGGAACTGTCAAAAATATTGCTGAAGTCAGTGTAGGCTAGTTCTATAGGTAAATTTTTGTCTTTAAGTGGGCACCAACATTCACGGTCTACTAATAAGTCAGTGGGACATCAGTAATCTGTTTTAATGCCATATCGCTTTTCAAAAAGAATCCTATCTTTGTCATGATACTTAAAAGGCTCCTTCAGAATGGTCTTTTTTTAATATCAACAGTCACTCTGGTCACGCATACAGGTCGACGGTTATCATGTTTGTGTCTCATTATTGTTTCAAAGACAGAAGTCACTATGGCATTCTTTTAGTCTCTTGGTAATCAACCTTGGGTTGTCGATAGAATAGACTTATGTTTAAGGGATTTGCTACAAATTTTGCTTATTCTCTTAATAATCTAGAAAGCATTTCGTCAGGTCCCATAGATTTGCCTACATCAAGCTCATTAGGCAGATCAAAGGCATCGAGTTCGTTAATGGACACAGGATATAGTGTTTCTGAAGAGATACTTGTATGAACTGAATGGAAGGATATCTGTACAAATATACGTTACTGATGCAGTTTGAGAATACAAGAGCTCTACCATGGTTGTTCTCCACTAATGATGAATTACTACTGTCGTTACCCAAGCGCATGCTCCTTTAAGGAGCTCAGTATACTTGAGACATAGTAAACACTTATTCAAATTCACAATCATATGATGACTCTTCATGACAAATCAGAACAATATTTCATGTAGACTGATACAAAGCTCAAACTTTATATGACAGTTATATGCATCATTGTAATCTTGTGGGTTATATTGTATAGCAACCACCTATTCATATATATTCTATGCACGTGCACGCCTCTTTATTTCAGTCTCTCGATATTACTCTTCGTTCGCTTAGTCTATAAAGGAAGTGAGAAAGAAATAAACATGCCAACTTGTGTTGTTATAACCACAAATACTATTATGTGCCTCATTCATTTTGTTTAGTTCGTCTGCCAAGCTATTTGTCTAGAACGTGAAAATCCTCGAAATATTTAGCGCTGGAATTTTTTTCAGAGGGTCGATTCGTTGTAAACTGTTCAAGGAACTTATACGAGACAAAGCGTCTGCAACTACACTGTTTGCTCCAGAAAGGCGTTGTATATCTGAAGTAAACTGCGAAATGTAGTCCAGTTGTCGAGACTCACGAGGTGAGTACTTGTCTAAAGATGAACTTAAAGAGAAGGTAAGAGGTTTATGGTCGGTAAAATGGGTGAATTCTCCGCCTTCGATAGAGTGTTGAAAATGTCGCACAGCACAATAAATAGCTAGGAGTTCCCTACCGAAAGTGTTTTACCTCGACTCAGTGTCTAGCAACCGTCTCGAGAAAAATCCTAAAGGTTGCCAATCGTGGTTAATCCATTGTTGTGAAACTCCTCTGATTGCTTAGTCGGATGAGTCTACTGCAATATTAATGGGCTCTTGAGTGTTTTGATGTGCCAGCAGGGTCGCCTTTCCAAGGAGTTTCTCAATTGTGGAGAATGTTTTTCGCACGGTGTCGCTCAGATTTATGGATTTTGTATTTTCACGAAGTTGGTCGGTTAACGGTTTCATAATGGGCGCGCATTCCGGTATTAACCCGTCTATAGAAACTTACAAGACTATTTATTGATGATTAATCATGGCCTCCTGCCCCTAACTCTCACTTTCCGAATCTCTCTAATGGTTAAAACCACACTATTCTTCCTAAGTGTCATGTCCTTTTATTTTTCTTATTACAAGTAGGCAGATAACTCACTAATCTTATGAATGCTGACCAACTAAGGCCGATCAAAAAACGTTCAAGTGTCCTAAATGTGAGTTGCTCAATGTTTAATTCTTCTTACCTTGAAAATTTTACGATCTACCCTTTCATATCTTCTGGTTTGCTATTGGTCCTTGCCACATCTTAACTACATATAATCTGACACGTCTCATAACGTTTACCATTAGTTATCTTCATAGCAGTACGATATATTAAATGGATTTCTTACCCATAATACAAATGCTTTTACCATCTGATTTGCTTGTGACATGGAACTTGTAGAGACAGTGTATTCCAACTGTGGTCCTTGATTAAACAATATCCATACTGACGAAAAACGTTAGAGAGCCCAACATCATAAAAGGAGGGAAGGTGGCGTTAATGGCCAGCAAACTTGATGGTGAGGAGATAACTTTAATCCACCAGTGTC